GAATTATATTTAGACTCCATACATGAAAATAGATATAGAGTAGCACTTACTAGGTTTAGAACCTCTTCACACAATCTTTTTATTGAAACAGGAAGATATGATAATACCCTACGTGAAGACCGAATATGTAAATCATGTAACATGAGAAAAATTGAAAATGAATACCACTTTCTGCTTGTATGTCCACACTATAGAGAGCTTAGAATAAAATTTTTTAAACCTATATATTGTCATTGGCCAAACATGTATAAATTTGATAATCTTTTATCATCTAGATCAAAGAGAACATTGTTGGCATTGTCTAAATTTTTGTATTTTGCAAATCAGAAACGTATTTCTTGATCACACATAACCATATAACAATATGGACGACATTTAGCAACTTAGGATGTATGAAAATCTAGAATTGTTTATTTTTCTGGCAAATATTTATACTCTCTGGAAAATTGTTCTGTTTCTCATTGTATGTATATGTTTATTTGTATTTCTATGGCTATAAACATTGTACTATGTTTTATGCTTAATAAAGTTCGTATTCGTATTCGTATACTGAAACGTGTTCTTAATAGTACATGTAATTACATTTTTGCAGTTTGATTCTGACTTTCAAATTAAAAGGTGTGAACATATGTCATAATTGATGTACACATTTAAAAAATATAAGCAACTCTTTTGAAAAGTAAATTGTTAACATGTCTGTCAACGTATGATGCTGCCCGTGAAACAAGGAAATAAATAAACCCCGCAAAAAATGTGTTAAAATTCAGTCGACACAATTTCGATACATTAAACTTTATAATCAATTTAAATCTCTTATAAAAACAAATACTGTCGTTTGCCCGATATTATGCATGACAGGTGTCAAAAGATGATTATGTGAAATAGACATCATTTTATGTTATTTTCAACACGTGGTCAAATCAGCTGTTCATACATATTAATTATGTTGCAGAATCATTACACTAAATACACTAAATAATTTACTTCCTCCTGAACGAAAGAAGAAAAAATAAATAAACAATAGATGGTTAATCTTTTTTTATGTATTGTGATTGTTCTCTGTAAATGACTTGCCATGTATGTAATGCCGTTTTTACAAATATTAATTGTTATATACCTTATGTTTGTATCATGTATGATGCACTGAGAGAAATAAAGAATTTGAATTTGATTCGCATTGTAATCGTAGCCTAATATTAACTGCAGGCAAAACATTTTATTGGCTGCTCAAAAATCTAATTTGCATAATTTATTCACACAATTGCTGGTTCTTACTACTTATGTCTAATACTGTGCATTGTCCATTTTAATTGTTCCTAATTTGCACCAATTGTTCCTGTCACAGTGTGTACTGACGATTTTTATTGCTCCTTGTATGCCTCTGTGCCGACAGACCTTTTGATCATGCACAATGTTGCCCTGATTGGTTAATCACCCTTGTCAAATATTCTAATGACGAAATAGACGCTTCATCAGTGAACTGAATGACCTTAGGGGAAATTAAGTTCCGCACCTGTCAAGTTATACTGTAAATTACAGCATTTCATAAAATAGCAATCATTTTAAATATTTAGTAGATTTATGATTTTTTATTTTATTGGATTAAATTTACGGTAGTAGAAATGCGTATCTGTGTGGGAAAGGGATTGGGTAAGTAGATAACGTGGAAAAAATCTATAAGGAACTGGATAAACCCGAGAATATATGCGTAATAACAGGGGAATGGGCAACCTGTTGCTGTTGGTACCAGTTGACTGGGCGCCTAAATAACCTAATGGACAGTTTTGTTTTCATACGATGTAAGTCTGGCTGCCGATTTTCCTGCGCCATTCTCATTTTTAGCGTCAATGGCGGAAAATCGCGTCCTCAGCAGATCTCTGCATATTGGATTTAGTTGATATTTTACGCTGAAAAAAAGGGAAAAGAGTCAACTCGGCCCTATACCAACTCGGCACGGGTCAACTCGGCACGGGTCAACTCGGCCCACTTTACAAAAATATATAGGCCTATTACGTATTTACTTTGCTTTGCATGTTGTAAAGGTAAATGAATAATAAGAAATATCTTATTATTATTATATAATTATGCATTGTACCTCTGAGGAAATAAAGTATATTTAGAAAGAAAAGTAATGTATTTGTCTTGCAGATTCGATAAAATTGATATAGACACAGGCACGATTATCGAACCTGGAAAGAAAAAATATGAACAGATTGATAAAATAACTTCATATTTTTTCTTCCCAGGTTCGATACTTGTACCTGTGAATATAGATATAATATAAATGTGTTTCCTTAGATGCATTTTGTTTGTAAAGTAATTTTCAAAAAAATATGAAACAAAAACGTGTTTACTTAACAGCATATAAGCTTCTAATTAATTTCAGGTGGTCACTAATCAAATTTGAATGAATGAGTCAATCATAATTATCACCTAATTAATCGGTATCTTTAACAAACATACACATTGATTGATAATAATAGCCCGTGACAATAGGAGTCCGTTGATGTCCTTTACCCATTTTTTAAAAGTGGGCCGAGTTGACCCGTGCCGAGTTGGAATAGGGCCGAGCTGACTCGGGGCCGAGTATGTTTTAGGGCCGAGCTGACCCGGATTCGAAAAAAAGATACATGACCGGCGATGTACCCTATTCGGACAGCTTGTCTAGCGAAAATTAAGTACAAAATAAAAGGATATAATATCGTTAATTTGAAGAAGTTTCTCATAGTACCCAAATTAAATTGATGGTTTATCTTTGAAAATTAAGCAGTCATTGCTTAAATCATGTGGTGGGATCATCAGCAAGCTTGAAAATCGGACAAATGATAATTAATGTCGCGGCGTCTTCAATTAATTAATTAAAGCAATTCAGTTCCATATGATGTTTTCATAAATAATGTATAATGTACGCAATAACATTGATAAGTTCTTAGTTGTACCAGCGTGTATACCTATACCGGAAGTGGGTATAACACGTCACAATCTCGGTCTCGTCTGTCTCGCGAGAATGACAGAACGACAAAATGGCGGCGCCCATGAACTTATTTCTCAAGTAAAAAATAGTGTCTTAAAACACGAATTTCTCACTTATAGGGTTGATGTCAACAGAAAAACTGTCATGGTACCTCTTTTTAAATGATGAATATTTATATTAGACAGACATCAATCCATCCATTCCTATTCCTTTAAAGGACATTTTTTGAAAAATCAAAATATATAATATTTGGTGTGTTTTTTTTTCATTTTTTTATGTTCATATCAGTATTAAAACATAATATTTATATAAGAAAGAAATTAGCCAAAGAGGCCTAAAAAATGTTTATATTTTTATTTGAATTGGTTTAGTAATCTTTTTAGATTATTTTGAATAGTGTAATAATTATGTATCAAACCTTTTGACTTAATAAGTTATGAAAATGAAGTTATTTGAAAAATGTGTTTAAAAAGTCAATATTAATCTAAACATGTATATAAAGTTTAAAATACATATAAACATGTACATAATTTGTAACCCAATTAAAAAAATGAGCATTATGCATCAGGAGCAAAATCAGAAATGAAGACTATCTTTAATCATAGTCTTATGGAATAAGTATGACACATTCCTTTTTCCTAGTTTATTCTGACTGCATTTTTACACTGTATTTCTTTATTTCCATAAAAAATGCCGAAAAGACCAGGCTTTTGCATTCTAGGCCGAAAGTCCAGGGCCAAACATCAAGGAGGTGGATGTCCTGTAATCTACTGTAATGCTTTAAATCAAAATTGTAACCCAAGTAAAAACAGGTTCTTTTAAATAATACAGTAAAACGTCTATGAGTGGAACTTTGACATGAGACATTATTCCAAAAAATATTTTGGAGTTATATTGCCTATTATTAGTATTACATGTAAGTAGAATGATTTCAAAACTGTCGTAGCTATAAGTAAGCTTGTTTTCAATAACTTTTCATCTAATTCTAAAGATTTCCTCTGAAAAAAATTATTTATGATTAAGCTAAGTTACAATTGACAGTTCCTATGTGGTAAAGTTAGGCTGGACCTTTTTTTCACAGTTTTTGATAAAAAGAAAGGGTGAAATATGTACCTGGCTGATGTTTAATTTCATCACTGTAATTTTTGACAGGTCATTAGCCAATCAGATATCTCAACTGCCTAATTTCTGCATGCAGCAAGTGCCTTTGATATTAAGCTGTCAAAGCAAAAGATTAGTTCTTGAAATGCCACTTCAGAGCAATAAAAAAATCAGATCAGTCGTACATATTTCAAAATTTGAACTTTTCATGATTTCTGCTTCAATTTGCCATGTCAAAAAAAAAAAAAATGAAAGTGGCAAAAAAATTTATCAACTTAGCAGTCTTCGAAATTAACGCCAGTCCGAGGCCCGAGGCCACTAAATTTAGCATCGGTCCAGTGATTATTGCAAGGTTGGTGGTCCGACGGACCAGTAGATTTTTTGTCATGAAAAAATATTATAAGAAAAATTCATCAAAATAATGAAGCAGGGTTCTCTAAAAGATTGATCTTTTTGCCTTTTTTGCGAATGAAACCCATCAATTCTGTCCTAAATGTTCAAAATACAGCGAGAGATGTCTAAATTGTATTGAGTAATGGAGGCCGCCATTTTTTTTCTTGGTTATTTTCCGTACCGCGCCGTACAGTTTACGGAAATGTAACCAATAAACACACCAGTGTGCAGCTTTAAATAATCTCACCTCTGGTGGAATGGAAAACAAGAAGTTTGATACACCTTTCTTCCTCCATTTCTAATGAACATACCATGTCTCAAATAGTAGGCCAAGAAATATATGAACCCCTGTTAAAAGCCTCTTAAAAAGAATATAATTCATGAACTTCTACCACATTGAGTTGAAGACATCTCAATATTTAAAAAAAAATGCATGATTTTGATAATGTAACAGTTATTTATCTTGTTTATAGATTGGTTGTCTTCTAGTTTAAGATTCTCTATAAACCCATGTTTTATGTTATATTTGCAGGTCCACAAACAGGTTAACCCATCTCTTACAGCCAAGGAAGATGCACTTGATTACATTGAGAAACTTATCATCCAACTTCTTGCCACATTGTGTGCATCAGAACCTCATGTGCCACAAGATGTTGAAGATCGTGTCCAGAAAACATTTCCAGATCCCATTGATAAATGGGCAATCAGAGATGCTGAAAGGGCAATTGAAAAGGTTGATAACAGGAACAAGAAAAACTTGACATTGGTATTGCCTGTTGAGAAAATTCACCCACTGCTTGTAAAAGTAAGTTTTATTGAGATAATATTTATTATAAATATATTATCCTTATAAATGGGACTGTTTTCTCTGAGAACTGTATGTACATGTAATACCTGAAATATTTTTTTTATTTTTATCCTATTCGCATTTAGGTCAAGAATTTTTATAGGGATTATGACATTATTAATTGTACTAAAGTTCTATTTTCTTTTCCTGTCCAGAATTTGAAAAACTTCAGCCAAAATCAATCATAAAATAAGATAAAAAATTTAAATTACCACTTTTCAAAATTTAATGCTGTGACACTAATCATAATGGACTGGAAATTTCATCTTCGTGTTTGCTTATTTTATTTTAGGAGGTGCTTGGTTACAGAATAGACTACACAGTAACAGTATATATTGTAGCTGTCCTTGAATACATAGCTGCAGATATATTAAAGGTAATCATTTTATTCCAAATACATATAATGAAAATGTAACTTGTCATAAATACAAATTTTATTTATTACAGAACAATATTTATCGAAAATTTTAAATGGATTATATTTAATTTTAAAGAAAAAAGATATACTGATAAAATGTTTGTTTTTTTAATGCTCACTTTTTAATAGAGATTCTTTCTAATATAACTAAAGTTTAATTATTTTGATATAGTTGACTGGGAACTATGTGAAGAATATCAAGCATCCCGATCTGACATCACAGGATATTAAAGTAGCAATATGTGCAGATCAAGTAAGTATGCCGAGATATGTTCACATTTAAGGGGAGCGGTGGCCTAGTGGTTAAGGTGTTTGCCTCTCAACCCAGGGGTCATGGGTTTGAGCCCTAATCGGGTCACGACCATGTATCTTCATATGACACAAGTACTGGTTGGTTCCAGGAAGCAGACTCGAAAGTGAATTTATAAGTTGCAAGAGCTTATTTCGCAATCAAGCGTAAATAAATATGTTTAAACCACGTAAGTAGGCTGAGTTATGTTGATAAATGTTGATAAACAGATGTGTTGTGTCAATATTGCAATTACTGTCAATCATATGCTTCTATTCATATTAAGATACCATTTGTTACATTCATCTCATTATGCAATAATGGAATACTCAAAAGTTATCAAATCATTTAAAGAATTATAAAAGAATAAGTTAAGGGTGCCTGTTTTTAGCATTTTTTCCCAAAACATTGGTTTGCCATTCTAAGAGAATATCTTTTAGCATTTAAACTATGTGCAAATCTAGAAATGTTATTAGTATATCTTTCTGGATGTGATTTTTATATGGACTGAAAAATATAAACTTGTTAAGAAACCAAATAAAAGTTACTGGAGTTGATATGGTACTACGGATGTTTGATGCAATATTTCAGGTGTTAATGGACATGTTCTCCCAGGAGGAGACAGAAGTGTCACTGCCTATCGTAGATGAGCCTGTACGCAGAGAGTCACTGACATACGAGGAAACTGTAAAGGATTTTATCCTGGAAGAAAACCAGTACCTTCATGACCTTAACATGATTATTAAAGTATTTAGGGCACCATTTGAACAGCATTTTCCTGGTAGTAAGGTAAATCATCAAGTAGACTCTAGAGTTGTTTAAAATACATGTTTTTTTTCCAATGATATCATTTGACAAACACATTGAAAAAAGGTCGTTATATAAATATATATAGGCTTCATCCGAAAGGGGTAAGTTTTTATAAGTGCATTTAGGTACTGTGGATTTTACTTCCTGAGTAAAAATATCCGGTGTTGTACTATTAGTTATGAAATCACATTATTGTTATAGACAGGGTATCAGTTTCCATGTATGCTACAGGAGATTTTCAAAAATTCTAGACATCTTATTCATCTGTCAAAGTTATTTACAGCTGTATAAATAATTAATCAACAGAAAATATCAACCACTCATTAATATTATTTCTATTCATGACAGTTTTAAGCAAACCACTTTTTATGAAGCTCTTAGCTTAATATGCTATTAACCCATTACGTTATATACACGCCTTTTAACGCCTTTTTCACCCCCCATTTTTGTTGTCTCAAATGGTGAAAAAATGCCTTATATAGGCCCCCAACACTTGTTTTTGTTTGAGAAATGTTGTTAAAAAAAGTGACCTCATTTTCGGCGCGGCCCCCCAAACAAAAGGTACATCAGGGGGTTGCCAGAAGGGGGAAAATCCCCTTCTGTTTGGGGGGTTTGAAGGGGGGCGGAGTCCCCCTCATCGCCAAGAGAATTTTGGACTTGTGAGAGGCTTTAAATGACCCCAGATTGATCATAAGGTAACGTGTAAGCAACGCTGAAAAGCATTTGACTCTATCTCAATCCATTGAGAAGTTGCAGCACTTTGAAATCAATTTTGATGGAAAAAATCATTGCCATGGTAACAGAAAATTTAAGCCTGAGCATGTTGTTGCAAGGGCAATGGTCCAGTCAACATTTGTGCCAAGTTTGATTAGTGTTGAAGCAATTTTTTATAGTATTATAGCAATTTGAACTTGTAACGGGAGACTTTCCAATGAAAACAGCCATTTTTCACAAAATGCTCATGAAGTTATGGGTTAAGTAGAACATTGTAGGACCTTTTCTTATTCCACTATCAAGTACTTACCGGTACTATTATTGAGCATATTTATGTTGTTACCAAAGCATGTGGTGAAAAGTATAAATTTAACAGAGTACTACTTATATTTTGTTCTCTATTTTCTTTACATTAGCCAAGACTACTTTACAGAAGGAAATTTCTAAATTTTAGGTTATATTGTTGAATTTTAATACAGAAGTAGGTAATTTACTAAAATAATCTGTTTCAGAGTGTCATTTGGTAAAACTATAACTGAACATGCTTATTGTTAAAAAGGTCCAAATTGTAACAGAAAGACTAATTTTTATTTCTTATAGGACCTTGAGAATATATTCAGCAATATTTTGGACATACATCAGTTCACAGCTAAGTTGTTGAGTTCTGTAGAGGAACAAGTTGAGGTTGCAGCAGAGAATGAAACCCCAACTGTGGGCATCTGCTTCCAGGATCTTGCTGAGGTATGATGTAATGTCTATCTAACTAATCTGTCTGTAGAAAACTTAGTTCTTAATGCCTCAATTATATGATATAAAATCAGTAGGTAGTATGCACCATTCTGGAGAAATTCAAGTGTTTTTATGAAAACAATAAACTTTTTAATGAGAAAAATTTATAAAGGAATTCTAGTTTACTGAAGTCCCTTGCCAGAATTATTTGACAGGACATATGTTGATATTTTAGGGGGAAGAGTTTGGTGTATATATGAGATATGTTGATGACATGATGGCACCTCAAGGCAAAGACAGGCTACATACCCTCATGCAAAGACCAGATTTTAATCAAACATTACAGGTATGTTATTTATGATATTAAAAAGTAAAACTGTATTGGCTTTTTCTACGTCTGAATATTCCATGTTCAAAGTTATTCCATTTTCAAGTGTGTGTTGGTGATGGGGGGGATAGGAGGTAATACATTACTTGCATTCCTGGTCTTGTCATTTTTTGGGGGGGGGGGGGGGGGTTCGGGTTTAGGGGGTATTACATTTCTTGGCGTTGCATTGCCAGATAAGTAGAATAGTCATGTCATTTTCCAGTTTGTCATGTATTATAATGACAGACACTAAAATCTTTGCAATACTAGTTTGAAATTTAACTCTATCTCCAAATAATGTCAAACCACTTGCAGAGACACAGACATGTAAATATATATAAATATTTAGCTTAGTTCAACATTTGAATTATTAGGAAATCCCATGTCTTTTATTTCATTGGAATCATTTGACTTGCAAAGAGATTTATAAGTTATATATAAATTATGTCTTTATTTTCTGCTTTAGGTTTTTGTATGTACTATTTAGATGCACCACTAAATCTCTGTGTTATTATATTGATTAAAATAAGATTTTGTTTTCTTTGTAGGGTTATGGAAGTGGTTTTAAAGATGCGATGAAATATTCCTTACCAAAGTTGTTGTTAGGCCCTATTTATCACTGTCTTCATTATTTTGAAGTTTTAAAGGTAAGACCGAAGAGACAAGATATTTTATAACTGTTCATTGAGTTAGACATTGAGAATAGTTTTATATTTATGGTTTAAATCAGCCATACAGGGCTATATATTTCTGCATTTCATTGATAAAAACTTCATTTAAAGAATTTCATTTTCTCCTATGTTCATGATCACTTTGACTACAGGTAAGTCACTTCTGCTATTTTGTTTCCATCACCTGTTATATAACACTTTTATACTAACAATCCCAAATTATTATGGTACTTTTCCACATTTTTAAAGTTTTTCATCATGACCGCAGATGTCATTCGGTACTAAAAGCAGAAATTGATAAACATCTACTGGGCCATGTCAGAATCAAATGTCACCATTCTTGAAGTAAAAAGAAGCACTTTAAACATATATAGCTTGTGATTTCCTTGAAGTAAGGTCATATCTGGTTAGACATATGATAAATGTCAACGTCATAACATTATGCTGATTATTTTTTTCAAAGTCATCAACCTGTTATTCTGTTTTGAAAATAATGTGTTAAAATTATAAAATGATTTTGGCATCGGCTGAATATGTTCACTTCAGGTTTGTATTTATGCTTAGATATTTAGTGTATTATATATAATTATTTTCTTGAAATAACGTTTCTTATTTACTTCTTACTTAGGTGGAAATACACTTGTGCAAAGTTATTTTAGGCAAGGGCATTATGTCTTTGTTTTACACCAATTGTCCATGACTTTGTGAGACAGCCCTCATAGACTTAACAGGAAAAAGGGCAAAGAAAATATAGTGGTTTCATACAATTTTGTTAGAATACTTTAGTTCATAATTATGACATTATTGAATATTTTGCAGGCTTTGATAGCTACTAGTCCCAATGAAGAAGACAGTGAATGTTTAGAACAAGCCAGTGGCCTTCTAGCACCTATCAAATATCTCATGGAGAATAAATTCTCTGGTAATCTTGCCAAAAAGAAGCCATGGTAAATTCTTACATATTATTATACATTTACATTGTCAAATGCAAAGTAATCAAATTGTTGAAATGAAAGAACAAAGATAATAGTTAAATGTTAATTCCTCTATTTAAAGCTTAACAAATTAAAGGTGATAACACGATATTAAAATCAAAGATTTTTACAAACATTCTCACTTGTGGTGTATTTGTAGGGAAACTTCGTTGAGGTTACAAGGCAGAACAGGTCGCCAGGCTGTAGTTCAGAAAATGTCAGAACTTCAAAAAAGTATTGATGGTTGGGAAGGTAGAGATATTTGGCAAAGCTGTAGTGAATTTATACTGGGTGAGTTACATTTATTGTATGTACTATATTGTATACTTAGTCTAAAAATGGCAGTAGAACTTAGTTCTTCCAAAAGTTTGATACAGTAGAACTTTGGTAAGTCTAATTTGATGGGACTTGTGTATTAACTTCAAGACATCAGGACTTCGGCTTAAGTATCGCTCTCAGTTAAATGACAAAATTTTGAGACATTGATGTTTACCAGTTAGTTACAATAGGCGTAATAAATGGAAAAGGCGATAACCAGCTTAACGTTAATATATCCAGTGCGACTATCATACGGAAGACGGACAAAACCCCACCAGTTAAAACCCCACCACTCAAAATTTTATAGAGTGGACAAAACCCCACCACTAAATTTTACTAGAATGGCATAACAACGCCCACCACTTAAAAATTTCACAGAAGTGGACAAAAACCCGATGGATCATGTCTCACTTAAATGAAAAATTTGTGGCTGTGATTTTCCAGTTATAAAATAGGGGCGTATAATGGAAATGCGTCGTCGTTATTATCCCTGCACTACATACACACACCAAAATCTATAAAGATCCAAAATGAAATTTATTCCTAATTTTTATGCTTAATTACAAATACGGCAATCATTTCAATTGAAGCATGTTCTCACACAAATGAATGCACACAAAGGCTGTAAAAATCCTCAGCTTTGTAATTAACAACTGTCATACAAATTGATCGGCAATCATTGTAGCCGATAGGAAAGGTGTGAAAAACATGTTGAGATCAAAAGTGTCATATTAATCATGTAAAAACTTCTACAAAAGGAAAAAAATTGACACAAAAAAATTCAACTTTTAATAAAGAATAAATAGGGGATGGAGGGGGGATCATGACTTTCTTTATACTTTGACGCATCAATAAAATCATCAAGTTTGACATATAAAAGTTCTACTGTATATAATTCTGCAGAAAAAGATGCAAACTAGCATATGTCAAACAAAATTAGGTTAAAATTTGTTTTCCCAGATAAAAGTTAAATTCAATTATGTTTAGAATAGAGTGAAAAAAAACCTGTCACATATGTTATTTAACCTGTGAATGAACCGTGTCAAAGTTGACCAATTATATCAAATTATTTCTCCTGGAAGCCTAGCAAAATAGAAAGGAATTTTCTTACATTAAAGCCACTTGAAGGACACTAAAAGTTCACACTTTATTGATACACATAAAAAATAATCAACTTCCATGAGGAATTTTAATATATTCTTACAGCGTTTCTTTTTTTTTTTGGCACAATGAACTATTTTTTATAAAAAGAGAAAACAAGTTGAAAAGATAATTCCTTTTGTCCTTTACTGAAATTAATAGATGAATAACCAAATTATTTAGATGTTTTAAGATGTGTACCTTTCATAATCTCAAATTAATGGACAATATGATATATCAGTACAAATCAAAGTCATTATTCTCTCTGAATTTAACTTGTCATATTAGTATTAGTCCTGCTTATTGTTGGCAGGTTTCTGTCTTGGTTCAACAGAATTTTCAGGATTTGCTTCAATTTTGATAGTTGACTTCACATTTATATTTGACCTCATGGTCTCTGCAAAGAGAAAGCATTTATTCTTATGACATTACCCTCTAGGATTTTATATATTGTTCACCCATATTTTCTTGATTGGGACTAACCAGATACATCTCAAAATTATTCAGTTGGCTGTGAGCAGCTTCCTTTCGAACTTTGTTACATGTAACATCTTGCCATCCCACATGTGATCACCTTGACCTTGTTAGGTATTCCTGCTCTTCAATTGTTGATTATGTTGAACCATACAAATCGTTTCATTAAATAGCATTATGTAAAACCTTGACAACATTTCAGATGGTGTATTAATGAAGCATGCACGTGGTAAGAATACAGAACGACATGTATTTTTGTTTGATGCCCTCATTGTGCTGTGTAAACAAAACGTCAGAAGAACGTCAGTGTCTCAGCCACAAGGAGAGTTTAAGTTGAAGGAGAAATTCAACATAAGAAAAATTGAAGTACGGGATAAAGAAGACTGTGATGGTAGGCTATATATATATATGAGCCGCATAATGACAAAACCAACATAGTGCGTTTGCGACCAGCATGGATCCAGACCAGCCTGCGCATCCGCGCAGTCTGATCAGGATCCATGCTGTTCGCCTACAAACCCTATTACAAGTAGAGAAACTGAAAGCGAGCAGCATGGCTCCTGATCAGACTGCGCAGATGGAAACACACTATGTTGGTTTTGTCATGACACGGCTCATTTCATATTAATTGATATAATACATAATTGATAGCTACTTTCCTCAGAATGGATTTAAGAGGGTGAAAATAAGTATATTTTATGTATGAGGAAAACAAAAGAAAATTGATATTATCAATTATAAGACAAAATGAAAATAAAATATTCTGTTCAACATAAGGTAATTTAATCACATAAGGCATGGGTACATGAAGTTCAGGCTTTTTTCTGCACCTGAAAGAGCTCTCCATATAATACCAATTGAAATAATACTAAATTCAGGGTTTGCAAATTTCTTGCACTCATGATAAGGTGATGTTTTATCATCTATATTTCTGACAGCATTTATAATATACAGTCCTTGAAATTTTAATCATTCATCAGTGGCATTTCCTTTTTATGTCACTGATTGTTGATATGGAAATTAAGTATAGTGTATCTTTAACATGTATTTTCTTGTTTTCAGATTATAAGAATGCATTTGAATTACAAGCCAAAGACCATAGTAACCATGTGTTACTGGTTGCTAAGACACCAGAGGAAAAGAGCAACTGGATGGCTGCTCTCATATCACTTCAAACTAGAAGGTTTATATTTTGATTTTTATCTAGGGATTACTGAATTGAGTCTATTTGTCTAGTAAAATTCTTACAAAGATAGATATGATATGATATATTACATATGAAAAATTTGAATTACGAGATTATAAACAAGGAAACGGCTTGATATCAAATTTGCACTAGATATCTATTTGACAATATTATTTCTAGGGATGGCAACGAATACCAAAATCAATACTAGAGTACTCGGTCGTTTTTCCGATCGAGAACTCGGTTACTCGGATGATTTTTAATGATCTTTAAAGTTTTATCACACAATCAGTATCAACACCGTCTGTATGCTACTTTCGTTTTCTATTTTAATTCATAGAATTCGTAACTATAAATAGGACTGCAAGAAATATAAAAATATAAACATAAGAAATGTCAATGACAGCATTTCTTATATACCTATAAATTTTCTCCCTAAATTACAGGATGAACTTGATGGCAAATGCAAATACGCTTCAATTAACGGATAGAAATTGACAAATACGGTACCATATATGGAAGTGCCGGACTTTTTTTGACATTGGTTCCGATCTTAGCTTTGTATAAACGTAGCATTTAAAACGGGAACCAAAATTATAAAAGGCGTGGCCGGTTTTGCAAAAATTACGTATTCATCTGTCGGTCATAAATTTACTTCCTGACAGCTACATTTCATTTTATTGAAATTTCTTATAGTGTAGGTATAATGAAAATCATTTATAATTCAAACAAAGGTATATAATGAAAGGAAAATTATGTTGTAGAAGCTTTCTAAGCCTATGCATTTTTCTACTCGCAATGTTGGAAAATTGATATTTCGCTCGACCTTCGGTCTCGCGAGATATCAATTTTTCCACCGCTGCTTGTAGCACAACATAATATTCCGTATATATTTACGTTTTTATAATTAACAAGTTTCGGCCTCAAACTGTCTAATATTTAAAGGTGATTAAATATCATAAGAGGCCGAATGACGAAAACGGCACAGGACTGTGTTCAATCCCATACGCGTGTCAAACTGCTGATCGTCTCGTTAAATTTACAATATCATTTTCACACCTCTGCAAGGATGTTTTGATTGCATTTAACAAGTATTTATATAGATACGTGTACATTTCCGAATTTCTGAACTAATCTTTCTTAATCGCAAAAACGTAGAAATTAAATATTTTTTTCCGAGTAATCGATTATCAATTTTGTTAACCGATATTCGGAGGTTCGATCGAGTACTCGGTTAACCAGTTACTCGTTGCCATCCCTAATTATTTCACACCAATCATTTGTCTTTCAAATGAAGTTCCCTTGTGATGATATGTAGTACTTGTATAGCTGAACTCAAGGTGTTTTAATAGGCCATGTTGATTGACATCTGTTAAACATAAAAGAAATTAAACATTGTGTCAATTATAATTGAAGATAATGTTTTTACAGTATGTTGGAGAGACAGTTGGATGCCATATTGAGAGATGAAGAAAAACAAACACCATTAAAACTGCCAGATCCAGGGTTGTATAGGTTTGCTGTTGAAGATTCAGAAAACAATATTGTATTTGAGGATCAACCAGCGGCCCCAGGGGAGAGTCCACTTATTAAGGGCGGGACCCTTATAAAATTAGTGGAGCGTCTCACATATCATATGTATGCTGATCCAAAATTTGTGAAAACTTTTCTGACCACTTATAGATCATTCTGTAGTCCTCAACAGTTACTAGAGATGTTGATAGAAAGGTTTGTAGAAAAAAATATTGCACATTTAAATGGTTAATTTAATATATAATTATGGACCAGTTATTTCATGTAATAGTAGAAAAAAAACTGTTATTTGTTCTATAAACAGATGTACATGTATATAATTATTCTTCTAAAACAATTTCCAAATATCCAAGAATATGTTATATATGTTAGACTTTATTGAAAATAGATTTCTAATAACCTCCCTTTATTTACATGAAATGTAAATTCTGTAATATTTTTTATAAATAATGCTTATTTGAACATACAATATTGATAAGTCTTCATTTGTTGAGCATCAGATTTATGATATAAAACCATAAAAAATTTGAGTTACAGGATCTTTGATATTGGCTGAAATGAAGCTGTTATACTTGTCACCCATTGACATGGTACCTGGCCCGGCTTTCACTAACATTCTCGAACTGAGATAAATCTCAACTTAAGATTGTCTCAATATTAACTGAGATTCTTACTCACCTGAGAAAAATCGCAAGTTGGCTTTCACTAAACTTTTTCTCAACATTTGAGAATTTTCTCAACTGAGACTGTTTTTTCTCAAGACATAAGCGGCTATCTTAATGTGCATTGTTGATGATCGAGCTTCTATTTTACGAAGTATATCATGTATATAGTTGCTGTTTTGATGTAAGATGAGCAACAGGGAAATACTTGTATATTTATTACATTAAGTAGATCTATATTCTAGATCTATATTTTCTTGTTTTATTTAAAAAAAAAAAACAACAACAAAAAAATGTTTATACAATAACAAAAACACCAAAAAGCAATTGCAAATGTGTGAAAATTTGAAGGCTAATGAAAATAAGTTATCAAGAATGAATGTACATCAAAAGTAAACAAACAAAATTCAATAAATCATTTTTAGTATGATTATTGTGACGTCATAATTTCATGACGTCATGAATTAGAGCGCATGATGTCACCCACAATAATCAGTCAATATAATTACTAAATACATGAAAATAATAGGAACTTAATTGCCAAAAAAGTCAAATTATGTTTATTTATCAAAATAACCATGCAGAAAGTAAAAATACCCCTGAGAATAATAATTTAGCTTCACTGAGACATAATCTGAGACAGCCAAACCTTGTCTCAATATATCTGAGAAAAATCTCAAATCTTAAGTTGAGATTTTTCTCAATATTTTTTAGTGAAAGCCAAACTGAGAAAAATCTCAATCTCAATTTCTGATTTGAGAAAAATCTCAGATTTGAGCTGAGATTTTGACTTTGAGAACGTTAGTGAAAGCCGGGCCTGTTCCATTGCTCATTTAACATGTACATATGGGCTTTCATTAACAACAGAAAACTAATCATTAGCCTTTTATATCCTTAAAAATGAGGTTTCCTAAATGTTTTTGTTTAAAATTACCAGTAGATATTTATAAGAACAATACATATTACCTTGTATACAGGTTTAAGATTCCTGATATAGAGATGGATCCTGAGATGGTCGCTGATAACAATGATAATTTACAGTTGAGGGATGATCTCAAAAGATTCCGTAAGGAATATGTCAAACCTGTGCAATTTCGGTAAGATATTTTAAACTTTGCTAAAAAAAAAAAACCCCAAAAAACCTCTATTATATATTGATCATAATTATGACTTTTATTAGCTTGACTTGTCTAGTCTACTTGGCATTGCATTGACGTAATTTGTTTAAGGTGTTACATGCAATTTCATCTTGTTAAATATTGAGGATATTCTCTTGAATGTTAACACAAGTCATTTTCATATGTCTTAAGAATAATTGTTGGTCTATGTCAAGACCTTCATTACTGGTAACGGGCATAGATTAAATTATACTAAATACAAAATACTCGTATGATTTTATGATATTACAAAAATATAGATTACAAGCGTTTTAATGCAATCAAGCACTGAAAAAATTATAATTGAAACCCTACACATATCTTTTGGGATCAATATTTCAGTTCTTAAGTCCAGAATGGAATATTTACTAAACGTGTGAATAAAGTTTATTAGTCCCCTACCGGTTTAACCGGAGGGGACTTTAGGTTTACCCTCCGTCCGTCTGTCAGTCCGTCAGTCAGTCCGTCCGTCCCTCCACAAAACTGGATCCCGCGATAACGCAAAAAGTACTGAAAATATTTTTATGAAACTTGATATATGGATAGATGGCAGTATGGAGATTATGCACGTCTTTTTCTTTTCTTCCTATGTTGAAAATTCTAGTTGCTATGGCAACAAATAGTCTGAAAATATGGCAAATTTAACACATAAACTGGATCCAGTGATAACTCAAGAAGTACTGAAAATATTTTTATAAAATTTGAAATATGGGTAGATGGCAGTCTTCAGATTATGCACATCTTTCTCTTTTCTTCCTATGTTGAAAATTCTGGTTGCTATGGCAACAAATAGCCTGGATTTCAAGATTTCTGATTTAATTTTTTCAGCTTTTTCACTATAAGTTCTTTATTTCTTAAGGTGTTTGCTTCAAACTTTAAATATAAGTTTCTGGTCATCAACCACATAATATGTGACAAGGTTTACAACTCTAGCACAAAAATTTTCAGTATTACCTCCCTTGAACTTAGAATTCTTATGAAAAAAAATGTTGTCTTTTTGAAATAACTTCTTTATTTCCTAATGCATCTACTTCAAACTTCATATATATGTTTCTTATTATCACTCAACATTTTTGAGAAGGTTAAATACTCTAGCAAGACTATTTCCAGAATTATGTCCCCCTTGAACTTAGATTTTTTTCGAGAAATTGGTATTTTTTACTCCAACTTCTTCATTCCTTATAGGATTTACTTTAAAATCCCACATCGTAATAATATGACAAGGTTGTATAAACATAATTGCCTTACTAGGCAGGGAAACTTAACACATTACTGAGAAATAGACAAACTTAGAACTCAAAAGATTTAAGTTCATTCATGTCATTCATTCACTGGTAAAATTGAAATCAGAATGTTGCTGGGGTTCTAACCGGTAGGGGACTTATGGATTGCTTGCAATACTATGGTAATTGCTTGTTCATTTAAGAATTTCTGTTCTTATTAATTTTTTCTTGGGTATGTAGATGCACTTTGTTGAAAAAAAGAAAAAACTTTTACAAACAAGTATGTGTATTATCTACCTATTAAGTAATGTTTCTTTTGTTTGAAATTGTGACAGACTACTTTTACAGTTTTTATTACCACATGAATAAAAGAGATAATCCATATCTATCCTCAAGTGTGTTGCATTTTCTTTAAACAGAGTGGTAAATGTGTTACGGCACTGGGTAGATCACCACTTTTATGATTTTGAAAGAGATTCCAGTCTACTGGAGAAGCTGAAAAAATTTCTTGACACAGTCAAGGGAAAAGCAATGAAAAAAATGGCTGACTCAATTTTAAAAGTTATACAGAGAAGGGTGAGAAAAACTTTTTGAATTTTTATTATTTTTTTGTTTGCATTAGTCTTTTAATCTTTGTATTAGAGGCTTCAACAGATAAAATGAGAAACATCATAATTAATGGTTATTTAAGTAATTGTTATATGACCTTCATAACTTAAGTAATTTTTATATGACCTTCATAATTTTTAGTAATTGTAATATGACCATCATAGTTTAAGTAATTGTTATATGACCTTCATGACTTTAGCAGTTGTTATATGACCTTCATAACTTAAGTAATTGTTATATGACCTTCATAGTTTAAGTAATTTTTATATGACCTTCATAACTTAAGTAATTGTTATATGACCATCATAGCTTAAGTAATTGTTATATGACCTTCATGACTTTAGCAGTTGTTATATGACCTTCATAACTTAAGTAATTGTTATATGACCTTCATGACTTAAGCATTTGTTATAATTTATGACCTTCATAACTTCAGCAATGTAAGAGCTTTGCCTTTACTGGTACTTTATTTCGCTTTAAATATTTTGTTATGCTTAATGTTTTATTATTCAGACGGAGTTGACAAAAGCTGGACGAGAGTTCACATACCAGAAAACTCCACCTATTATAGAGTGGCATCTTACACACAATAAGAACGAATTTGATCTGTTAAATGTAAGTTACTTAAATTTTACATATAATTATAACTACTGTTTTCAATTTTATTGCTGATACTAGCAAGTGGGTCATGTCCATATCTCTGCTTTTCTTCGAGGTGATTGATGCACATTGATGAGTTCTACCTGCAACACACATTTCCAAGTCAAAATGTCAAAGGTCATGGTATTGCAAAAAAAAAAAAAAATGGCCTTTAAAGTGCATTTATCTAGGAAATTCAAACTTTGATTAAGTTTATAGTCAATAACTTTAATTGTGATTTGAAACTTGATTTGTGGATACATCTAGAAGAGTTCTATCTGTCGCACCCATTTTCAGATCAAAAGTTAATTTGATTTAATTCTAAAGTAAAAGATCTGTTTATTTAAGAAATGTGCAATTTACCCTCCTGCACTGAGGAAAGCATGCCCTGACAACTCTTATTAATTTTAATCCTCACTCTTCTGAAGATATTATATCATGAAAATTCCAAAATTAAACATCAAACAGTAATAGGGTGTAACTAGACTGTGTAAGCTGGAATGGTTCTCTATTTTCAGCGGGAGGTTAGGTTTGTTTTTAATGAATTCTTAAAAAGTTAAGGGTAATATAAACTATGGAAGTGTGCTTTGAAAAAGAATTAAGGTAAAAAATACATAAAAGATATTTGTCATATATTGATTTTTCTGTTTGTAGTTGCATCCTATAGAAATAGCTCGACAGGTGACTTTACTGGAGTTTGACTTGTATCGAGCTGTCCAGCCATCAGAATTAGTTGGAAGTGTCTGGATGAAAAGCACAAAGAATAAGACGTCTCCAAATCTTCTTAAGATGATAGACTTTTCAAACAGTGTATGTTCATCATAACTACTCCGGTTTTGAAAAATTTTAAAATCCATTTTTAGCTCGACTATTCGATAAGAATAAGTAGAGCTATTGTAGTCACCTGAGTGTCGGCGTAACCACTTATGTTAAAGCTTTTGTAATAGTTCAAATATTTTCAAAGTCCATTGACCTATGGCTTTTAAACTTTGCACACTTGTTCACCATCATTACCCCAACCCGTAAACAGGAGGAGGTAACTGTATCAATCATTTTGACAGAATTATGCCCTTTTTTCGACTTAGAATTTACGTTAAAGTTTTTGTAATACCTCAAATATTTTCAAAGTCCATTGACATATGGCTTTGAAACTTTGCACACTTGTTCACCATCATTACCCCAACCTGTAAACAGGAGGAGGTAACTGTATCAAGCATTTTTTTTTTACAATCAAGCACTAAGAATAGTCGAGCATTGCTGTCCTACCGACAGCTCTTGTGAATATTAAAATTGAGTTAATTTATTTTTCAAACTATAATATTAAGCTTGGACAGTAAAACAAAAAAAAACTAAAATAAAGATTTTATGTATGTTCATTATTGCTATTTTCATCTTTTTGTATGCTTGATGAAACATTACAGATTTTATATACAATATTTTAACATTTTAGCACCTCCACATAGAATTTATGCAGCATAGATATTTCATCAGCAAACTTTATATATTTGTCTTGAAGAATCAAATTTAATTAAGCTAAATTAATAGATAAAAGATAGTTCAAACTTTTTGTGAATTCATCTAATATTATATGAAAGCAAGATGAAGAACAGTCCTGTGAGATATATTATACATATTACAGTTAACATTCTGGCTAGAGAAGTGTATTATTGAGACAGAGAACTTGGAGGAACGTGTTGCAGTTATTAGTCGTTGTATAGAGATAATGGCAGTATTTCAGGAGTTAAATAACTTTAATGGTGTTTTAGAAGTTGTCAGTGCTCTCAACTCAGCACCTGTTCATAGGCTTGAACACTCATTTAGTGTAAGTTGTCACTTGTTTACTAAAAAATATCATTGTTATTTTATTATTTGCTGTGTATATTTTTATCTGGTTTTTATATGGCATTTTTCATTCAGGTTGGGCTCCAGTTCTTGAAAAGTTGCTATTGAATAGTAGGGAAAGAATGATGTTTAAAGAATATCCTGATTTAGAAATATATTGGATATTATTCTTATAATTATAATAATACTGTGTGTCATTTATAAAATGTTGACTGTATTATTAATATGATAATGGTTGTATAGTATAATTAATTTCACAGTTTTGTTAAGTATAATCAATGATTTTTCAGAGTTTGCACCATGTAAAGTCTAGAAGAAATCATTATTGGATCCATTTATATCTTTCCAGAGTCCAAAATGTCCATATCAGATGCATATTGTACCTCATATAGCCTTATTTTCATTTTTAGTGTTTATATAAATGCATATCATGCTACATTCAGCATTGATTTCATTTTTTGGGAGTCCAAAAATACAGTTCAAATCCTCATTATACTTGAAGTAACTTAGTTATTTCAAAATGTCAAAATATTGTGAAATAAAGGTCATAATACATTTATAAGAACAATATAAATTCTATTCTACAGCTGCAAAACGTGTATCAGACAAGGTTAATGCCTTATCCAATATAGTTTGACATCTGTATATTTATCCAATAACATTTCAGTGTACTCAACAATGTATAACCTCATAGTATTATACATTATTTTTATGTTATTAGCTCTGCATTATTCATATAACATTGGTTTTTGTATTAAATCAATGGTTTTTGTATTAATTAGGAGGTTAATCATAGATTAATCAAGCTGATGAATGAGTCAAAGGAGTTAAACTCTGACCATTTCAAGAAGTACACAGAGAAGTTACGCTCCATAAACCCCCCATGTGTTCCATTCCTAGGTAAAACATTACAATTCTATTATATAATGTCCCAATTTATTCCATTCTTGTGTCTTATTGTATACTATTTGACATTCTTATGCTAACTGCATTTTATTCATAAAGTTGTATTAGGTACCTAAAAGATTATTATTATGGTATTATTAAACTTTACATTCTAATCTTAAAGCATATCTTAGGCAATATTAGACTTTATAATGCAGCATTTTGACTAAATTCTTTTAGAATCGGATAGAAATAACAGGTTTTCTTAAGCATTAACTCATGTATATCCACTATCAAATTTAAGATGGGATTCAATTTTATAAGCATGTTCTATTTTATAAATATATATATTACAGGAATGTATTTGACAAACATTCTCAAGACAGAAGAGGGAAATCCAGATTTTTTAAAACGAGACCAAGAAGGCCTCATAAATTTTAGTAAGAGACGGAAAGTAGCAGAAATTACAGGAGAAATACAGCAATATCAGAATCAGCCATACTGTCTCAAAGTGGAGTCAGATATACGGGTAATTTTATTATTGATAATTAAAGTTAATCTTCACTTGTTATGTCAGTAATAGATATTATTGAAAGATGTGTATGAATAATTATATATACATGTACATGTATTATTGAACCTAAACTGTGAAATTTAATTGTATAAATTTTTTGCATTACTAACATATATATCATCAATGTTTTCTTTTTCAAAATGTATTAACTGTCAATAAGATACAATCGCAGAATAGAGTGTTTGCCTGTTTATTTATACAAGGGATATAATAACAAAATAATTGAGTTGTATGTTAAAAGATTTATCTCTGAAGAGTAGATACATGTATACTTGAACCCCATGATACTGGTGGCTCTACAGCACCGGTGTATTCACATATCTCGCAATATTATTGTCAACGCCACCTACCTACTGTTTACATTGACATGCTCTACTAATATTTGCTATAACATTTTGGTGGGTTTCTGAAGAAAATATTTCACATATCCTACCTTACTTTTCTTTACTATCCTATTCCTCCATTGCATTAATCGGTCTCTCTACAAAACTTTTTTTTTCCAAAAAAAGATAATAAAAAAAATGACAATACTGACCTCATTCACCTCCGTTTTATGTCACTTGACCTTTTGACATCATTTTTGGTGGGAAAAATTAATCTATGGAAAGCCATTTGTGCATATAAAATAGTTTGTGAAAATTGAAAATTCAGTTTCATTCAGTCTTTTAAGGGAATCTTCATCATATAGAAATGAAATAGATTCAATGATATAAAAGGACCAGAAAATCAAAACAACACTAAAATTAAGTGATGGGAATTTTTGAATCCAACCACATGGTATAATAAACACCTGTAATTGGGAGTAAATGATTCTAAAACAGAGATCCCTTGGGGGTAATAAAAGGTGAACAGTAAGTTATTGAAACGCACATTTTTATGTTGTTTTAAAGTTGTCTTTTTAGCTCACCTGTCACAAAGTGACAGGGTGAGCTTTTGTGATCGCTTTTCGTCCGGCGTCCGTCCGTCCGGCGTCCGTAAACTTTTACTTTAAATGACATCTCCTCATAAACCAGTAAGCCAATTTCATCCAAACTTCACAGGAATGTTCCTTTGGTGGTCACCTTTGAAAATTGTTCAAAGAATTTAATTCCATGCAGAACTCTGGTTGCCATGGCAACCAAAAGAAAAAACTTTAAATATCTTCTTCTAAAAAACCCAAAGAGCTAGAGCTTAGATATTTGGCATGAAACATCTTCTAGTGAGTGTCTACCAAGTTTGTTCAAATAAAAGCCCTGGGGTCAAAATTGGCCCTGCCCCAGGGGGTCATTGATTTTCCCTAAATGCATATAGTAAAAACTTAAAAATCTTCTTTTAAAGAACCCAAAGAGCTAGAGCTAAAATTGGGGGTCATTGATTTTCCTTATATGTGTATAGCAAAAATTTAAAAAATCTTCTTCTAAAAAACCCAAAGAGCTAGAGCTTAGATATTTGGCATGAAACAACTTCTAGTGAGTGTCAAATAAAAGCCCTGGGGTCAAAATTGGCCCTGCCCCAGGGGGTCATTGATTTTCCCAATATGCATATAGTAAAAACTTAAAAATCTTCTTTTAAAGAACCCAAAGAGCTAGAGCTAAAATTGGGGGTCATTGATTTTCCTTATACAGTTGACTCTCAATAAGTCAAAATCGCTTTACTCAAAATACCGCCTTAGACGAATAATTTCTAAAGTCCCGTCAAATTTCCTTCTTTATCTTTGTATTTTTACTCCGCTTAGCTCAAATTTGACTTACCGAGACTCCTGTTTAGTCGAAAAGAAAATTTGGTCCCGTCAATTAAAGTCCAACATATTTTCATCTCAATTAGTCGAAGTGTGAAAACAGACGACTGATCAAAGGTCGGCGACATCAAGGTGAGATGTTGTCACTCGTGATTTACACGTTTCATAGTAATTTTTAATTGCCGGTCATCATGTATTATTAACACGTCGTAAAAGTGACTTTAATCTGTTTCAGGACTTAAAATTTAATGGTTTTATCAGTTAGATAATTAAATTAAAATTTGATTACATTTCTTTAAGAAAGTTTACTCGTGCCAGTCTGACGGGGGTTAGTCAAATAACAGCCTAGGTATCAACGTAAATGACGTTTGTATAATTAATGTTCCGCCATATTGCATACATTAATTTCTACTTCCGGTTCACGATAGTTGCTAATTTCGTTTTCATCCGATGATCAATTAAATCAAATATAATTGTGGGTTTATGTTTCACTATTGATATACATGTATTAAATTTTGAATTTAAAATTTGTAGTTGTGAGTGATTTACCGTCATTTCAATGGTTAAATATTGCAGCATTGCCGCTAACAACAATAACGTGCATTCAATCAGGCACATGTATATACATGTACGAATGTTAACTTAATGGCGGTAGTTCCACGTTACTCGAATTCCGTTTCTCTCGAAGTAAAATGCCCAGTCCCTTGGATTTCGAGTTACCGAGAGTCGACTGTATGTGTATAGCAAAAACTTAAAAAATCTTCTTTGAAAAAAACCAAATAGCTAGAGTTTAGATACTAAGCATGAAACATCTTCTAGTGAGTGTCTACCAAGTTTGTTCAAATAAAAGCCCTGGGGTCAAAATTGGCCCCGCCCCGGGGGTCATTGATTTTCCTTTTATGTGTATAACAAAAACTTAAAATATCTTCTTTGAAAAATCTCAAATAGCTAGAGTTTAGATATTAAGCACGAAGCATCTTCTAGTGAGTGTCTACAAAGTTTGTTCAAATAAAAGCCCTGGGGTCAAAATTGGCCCTGCCCCAGGGGACATTGATTTTCCTTATATGTGTATAGCAAAAACTTAAAAATCTTCTTTGAAAAAACCCAAATAGCTAGAGTTTAGATATTAAGCATGAAACATCTTCTAGTAAGTGTCTACAAATATGGTTCAAATAAAAGCCCTGGGGTCAAAATTGGCCCCACCCCGGGGGTCATTGATTTTCCTTATATGTGTATAACAAAAACTTAAAAATCTTCTTTGAAAAATCCGAATAGCTAGAGTTCAGATATTAAGCATGAAACATTTTCTAGTAAGTGTCCACAAAGATTGTTCAAATACCAAACTGGCCCTGCGCCAGGTGTGTCATTGTTTTTAACTATATGTGTAAAGAAAAAACTTGACCAGCTAGACCTTAGATGTTTAGCATGAAACATCTTCTAATGGGTGTCTACCAAGTTTGTTCAAATAAAAGCCCTGGGGTTTAAACTGGCCCCACTACCGGGGCCTATATACAGGTGAGCGACTTCAGGGCCATCATGACCCTTTTGTTTTTCAGATATGAATAAAAAAATGCTAAAATGCTACTTTTGTTATTAAAACTGCAATGGCTTTCCATATAAATAACATTTTTACCAGTGCACCGGTAGCATGAAGTCTGTTTAACTTCGTCATACAAAATGGCCGACCATTGTTTACATTTGTAGTGAGCGAGAATTTCAGAGTAACAGAACTCTGTAATGTATTTTTAAGAGGATTAAATGTTAATGAAGTTGTTTATTTCTTCTTTTTTTCAAGTCAGTAAAATTTTATCTGAAAAACACCTTGTATAAAATATGTACTCTGGTATCATGAACACCCAAGCTACATTCATTAGAGAAGGCTATAATGTTATTTTAATTCACATACTTGTCAGTACTGGGTTCATGGGGAAGGAGGCATGGTTGTGACTCAAGTAAGGCTTTAACTTCTGATACCCATGATAAGTGGCAAACTCCATAACTTGTCGACCACCACTCCTGTTATAGCAGTTACAAGTATCTAATTGTTTGATAACGTAATTGACAATGCCTGTCCTTATTTAATGATTATCCTTATAATCTGTCAGTGCCACTATTACAGCTGTCAGAAACAGCTGACTTGATATATGTCATAGTATTACATAAATATAAATAAAAGTTCATGGAAAATTCCCCAAACGTCAAATCACAGGATTACAGGATTAGTTTATACCCAACTGTTATTTAAGATTAAATGGTTTGTTCATTCATTGTTACATTTGTAAATGAGTTGTTTCCACAGTGTGTTTTATAATTTTATGAATTCAAGAGTTTTTTTTTGTGTTTTTTTTGTTGTTGTTTTTTTTGAGAAAGAATAATTTGCTAATTATATTATAAGTGTTATTTTTTAGAATTTTATGGGAAAAAATCTTTCATTTATCAATATCTTCATCTGTTTTTATATCATTATATGAGAAAGGAAATTATTCGATGTACCCGTTTATTTCAGGAATTCTTTGAGAATTTAGAGCCGCTGGAAGGCAGAGATGAAAAGTCTTTTAATGATTATTTATATGAGAAATCATTGGAAATAGAACCAAGAAATTGTAAACAAATTCCAAAATTTGTAAGTTATGTTATTATGTTACTTCTATACTATTGTGTGTTCAAAAAAGATTTAGAATTAAAATGTCTTCATGCTAATTGTGAATGTGGATTTAAAACATGTATTTAGAATAAAATATATAAATTGAAAGTATATATTGAAACCTCATGATTTGATAAATATTTGCAGTTTATGTAATATTTATTTGATTTTATGTTTCTAAACATTTTGCAGTCATGTCATTCTGGAATTTTATTATTTGAAAGATTTAAGAAAAGTAGAATTGCATACACATATATTCACATCTTACTTCTAGCCGAAGAAGTTTAATTATTCCATCAAGTCACCTGGCATTCGTCCAATGTCACGTCGCAGTGATGCACAGTCCAGAAGCCATGCATTCCCGTTCACAACAGCATTTTCTGCTCCGGGATACCAGCGAATAGAGGAAGATCCTGAATCGCAATCGCCTCAGTGTATGACTCCGCCCACTCCTACAACTCCAATCAGTCCTGCCTCTGTGTCAGGGGGTGATAATGGAGTATTTTCTAATGTTACATTAGGCCAAGGTTGGTTTTCTCTTTTAACAACATTAAAATCTTAAAATCATAGTTACATCAAAACATTGCTAGGTTTTATTTAATTTTTTTTCAGTTAAGCATTTACTGTCTATAACATAGATTTAATACTTTCTGCACAAGTGAAATATAAAAATGAGACATCTGTTTTAGAGTGCCTATAGTCTTTGACTTCAAACCACTTATCCCACAATGGTGAATGTTCAAATCCTGTTAGGGATTTTGGATTGGAAGCTATCAAGCTAGCTACCATTTTGAATGTTGATGGACTGTATCCACCAGTAAAGCTGGTAAGTCACTGTATGACCTATTCTGTGTTGTTGCAACAAAAACCAGAAAAAAAATCATATAAAGATAAAATTTTCCCATAAAATTCTGTAGGACTACATATTTATAATATTGCATTTCAGGAGCAACTTCATCACCGTCACCAAGTGCGAATGTTCCAACTGCTGAATTGGTTTCTCTAGTATCTGACACTAAACTGCCTCCTCTACAGCCGCCTCCCCCTTTGCCCCCGCGGCGTAGAAATACAAACACTCGTGACTCAACATCCAGTAGTGCTAGTAGTGATGTGTTCATTAATAGATCTTCTTCTGATCCCCCACAAGTTCCACCTAGGACAGATCATGATCAACCGCCCCCTGTACCCCCACGCCGTGACTCATATAACATGGGGGTGCAGCCCAGAACTCCAACTCTGTTGTCACTATCAAGAACTGTTCCACCAGTCACGTCACGGACGCAAAGTGTGTCACAATTGCCCATAGCTTCTGTTCAAAACACGCAGGTGCATAGTAATACATTACCGCGTTACCATGGAGATAGAGACTCCATTAGAAGTGAAAACTTGGATGATATATTCAAATTTAATGGAGAAAATACTAGTGATATTCCAGCATTGCCGCCAAAAACTTACAGATCACATGCTCGCCAACAAAGCAATTAGGTGAAACTACCTGCAAACTATTATTGTGATTTTGTTATTGATTTCATATAGCTGATATATCTGTCAATAAGGTTTGCAATTATTGAAAGTTGAATTTCTTTTCTTGCTTACAATCTTTATAAAATTGAAATATCATGGTTATTGAAAGCATACAAATGTAGCTTCCAGTTTGGATTAAAGGAAACAAGAAATATGGAACAACAAAAGTAATAAATTTGTACATAAGTTCTATTGGTGTAATATTCTGCTTGTAAGCATTAGAATTTTTATCATAAAAATGCAGTTATCAAAGTTTCTCAAATATGTATTTCCTATCTTATGTACATGTTTAACCCGAGCTTAAGTTAACTTCCATCATGAGCTCCCCTATAATAAAGTGACATTATGCTCATTTTTTCATTGTCAAGTTGAGCTGAATTAGCTATAGGTATAAAAAGATCGACAAATATAGTGGGTTTGACCTATAATTGATAATGACCAATTTAAAAATGAAAGCTGCCTAAAATAAAAATAAAAAAAACTGCCCGCCATTTTTATGATGTGAATGTTACCAATAAGTTATGAAGGCTATGTTTAGAAATTCCTGTGGGTCACATCAGTTATTATTTATTTGTAACAAAGAATTAAAAAACAATGATGAAAACATATAAAGTTAAAGTGAGCATTATGTCACATTAAGTAAGATAATTTATTCAGATTCAGAGCATCTATTGCCAACTCGATAGTCTTTGACTTGACAAGTAGTGTAATGTGTAAAACTTTTGCCTTAAGGATTTCAGAAATATTACTGTTGACAATCGCCTCAAAATAGAAATATTATGAATAAAAATGTAACACTAATACGAAATCATGTTAAATTTTTATTAGTAATAAATATGGTTATAATATTTATTTAAGATTAGGAATTCGGATTAAAAGGGAAAAAAATGTTTACATACCTGATAGTGATAGGTTATGTTTATCATTGGGGCATTGATTGGTCAAATGTTTAAAGTTATGTGTCAAATGGGGTGATGGCAATTATCAGAAACATTGAAGTACTTCATGAAGGTAACTTTACAAGTATTTCTCCCTGTTTGGGATGTATTTTATATGGCTTGGAATCTTGCTTTTTTTGCTCTAACAACATGACAGAGTTTCAGTCTATGTGAAGTCTGTAGCAAATTGACACACACTTTGTACTAAATGTATGTGAAGATTCCCAGTGCTATGTGTGACATCAGTGATAAACAGTGCTATGTGTGACATCAGTGATAAACAGTGCTATGTGTGACATCGGTGATATACAGAACTACGTGTGACATCGGTGATAAACAGTGCTATGTGTGACATCGGTGATATACAGAACTATGTGTGACATCGGTGATATACAGTGCTATGTGTGACATCGATGATAAACAGTGCTATGTGTGACATCAGTGATATACAGTGCTATGTGTGACATCGGTGATAAACAGTGCTATGTGTGACATCAATGATATACAGTGCTATGTGTGACATCAGTGATATACAGAACTATGTGTGACATCGGTGATATACAGTGCTATGTGTGACATCGGTGATATACAGTGCTATGTGTGACATCGGTGATATACAGAACTATGTGTGACATCGATGATATACAGAACTATGTGTGACATCGATGATATACAGAACTACGTGTGACATCAGTGATATACAGTGCTATGACATGTGATATACAGTGCTATGTGTGACATGATATACAGTGCTACGTTGTGACATCAGTGATAAACAGAACTAGTGCTATGTGTGACATTGGTGATATTATACAGTGCTACGTGTGACATCGATGATATACAGAACTACATGTGACATCAGTGATATACAGTGCTATGTGTGACATTGGTGATATACAGTGCTATGTGTGACATCAGTGATATACAGTGCTCAATGTTCTACTGTCAGTCAGTATATACATATTTTTGTTGCTTGTGGTGGCAACAAGTTAATTTTCACAAAAATATCATGGCTTTTGGCATTTCCTCTCATATTTACTGACATATATGAGGTTCAGTACATTTTCTGTCTAAGATTAACTTTGGATACATTAGTTTAAAAGGATTGTTTGTAAATTTTGGTTGTAAAATATGTAGATCTGCACCAGTAAAGTGAAGGGCAAATTTCGGATTGATTGTTTAAATGAATGTTATACCAACAAAACTTTTGTGAACTTTTTCTAGGGATCGTTGGTAATATTAAGCTTATTGTTAACAAAAGCAGAAAATGTGATCTCTTTATGTCAAAGGCATTCTCTGAAAGCTAGAAAGAAGTTAATGAGGTTATTCTTTTCAAATGACAAGAAGTCTATCTTTGCTCCAGTTCAAGAGTGGTAACAAGTTCAGCTTCTTTCTTTATATCGCAGCAAATTGCATGAACTGATGAAAGGCAGAATTCATTGAGTTCAAGAATACTTTATTTTCAATAACCACAATTATCGGTTTCATGATCCAGAGGCATGCACCTGTTTATATTTGTTTAGAAGTCAAAATTATTCCTTGGGTTACATTGCATTTTCAGTAACCACTATTTCAAGAATTGATCTAGTATTATTGAGTAATCTGTGAATTAATGGACTGATTAGATTAATTGTATCCAAAGTTAAATCTATCTTTTTAATGCATTTCTGTTAGCTTTCTTTTACAAAAAGCAGAACAAAAGTTATATAAGCTGGTGCGTAAACAGTTCAGCTGTAACTTGAAAATTGTTGAATGACATTCTGTTATATGACTTAAGTTTTATTGATATACCTCCATGAAGTGTTGGCTGAATTCTTATAAGAACTTGTTACTTAATTGAAATTTGATGAATCAAAATTTAAAGCTGCACCCATTATTGTGATGGATTCCAATTGCTAGTTTCTTAACCAGTCAGTCAATATTAAAGTATTGTTTTGCTTCAAAGCAATTTTTCTAGGTAAGCAGTATAAGTGTCAAATTGCAAACACAAGTATTTATATACAGTAAATATTTTGAATAAAGGGGATTTTTATTGTAAAAAAAAAACAAGAGCTGGTCCCTCTTGTAGAGAAGTGAAGCAAGTGTGTTAGCAGAGATTCTCTGTGATAACAATATATGTAATGTGCAATACGTTGTTCTCACTTCTACTATAAACACTTGTTGTTCATTGGCAACATAAAATAGATGTATCCTCTTCTCCTTTACCTCTCCTACTTAAATCAATTAACTACTTAATATTGCAACATGTGATATTGCATAATAACATACTTTAATTCCTTATTTGCAACTCTAGTGTGCTGTATTTATTTTAAATAAACAGATAAAACATTCTGCATTTAGCTTACAGGTATTGTGAAAACGTATGATCAAATTGCAATAGAAATATTTGATATATGTATTAAAAACACTAGAATTTAAGCCTGTTACAATGTGGCCAGATATGTTCAGATTACAGATTTGATCTGATATTTATCTGGTTACACCATGTCTATTATTGTTGTATGTAACTGTAACTCTCACACTACATATTGATCTTGTTGATGTTTCATTTAGCAGGTGAATCTGTTCCTAGAATAGTCTTCAATATAATATCTATATACCATTATAGACACAGTGAAAGCTGAACCAGAGAAGTTTAACAAATGTCAGACAATAGTATGTTTTGTGGGTCTTGAAAGTGCTTTCAAGTAATAAAAGGTCAATATAAGGCTCGCAAGTTAAAAATCATTCATAAATTTGTTTTAAATAGAAATACAAAAATAATACGTTATTTTAAACTGGCATCTTTGATTTGTCAGAAATATTTCTGTAATTTCATTAGATATCTTGTATGTTACATGTTTGACAGTAAGTGCTAGTACTTAATTAAAGCTTGTGTTCTAGGTTGGTGAAGACAGTTACCAGTAATTCATGTAGAACAGATTCACTGCATTCTCTTATCAACAGAAGCTTGCAAATAACAATGCCAGAGCTAAAGCATAATTTGTTCAAGTATAATAAAACTTGGAGAGATTTATACTGCTGTTTGTGGTATGAGCATGTATAGCTGTGTAAACAAATAAAAACAGAAATGTTTGAAACATACTGTCTTCTTGTTTTCAAATTATCCCTGCAAGAAGTGAATTGTTTACCTTGATGTACATCTGAGCTGGATATAATAGAAGGATAAGTTTTCTAAGAGTTATGGCTCTTTGACATTACACTCCTTCTCACTGGTATTTATCAATATGTGAAGTTTCAATTAGATATTGGTAGGATAAGTATTAGAAAAAATACTCCAAATACAGTTACAGTAAGGTTTTTTGATGGAGCAATCCCTCTTACTGGTCATTATCACTGCGAAGAATTGATCAAAAGTTATTTTCTGGACAAGAGTGTAACAGATGACAAGGCAGCAACTATGTTCTCTCTGTATGTTCTTTGGAATACCTGTTGCAAGTTAACTAAAGAAAAATTCCAACTAAACCCCCAGGTTTTTGCCAAATGACAAGAGTATTGTTGGCACCATGAAATAGTTTTAACATTGACATGAAAGGGAAATTTAGAATGCATTTTAATAAAGTCAAAAATCAAATTTGTTATTTCTTAATTGTTCTACACAACCTCCGACACCAAAGGTTGCAAGTTTAATATCTTGTCTGTCTTCCGCATTTCAGCACTAACTAAAAATTCACTAACAATTTATTCTGGTCAGACATATGACCAGTTTGGTCTCATCATTCTGATCTGCTATCAACTCACAAAACATTGAATTTACAGCTTACGGTTTAGGGCGTAGTGTAGATGCAAACAGTGTTAAAGGAACAAATTTGATTTGACTGTGTTGAATTCAGGACCAATATTAAATGATATGACCACTTGTATTCAGATTATTCCACAAAAAATTTCAACAAGAACTTGTAAGAGTTACCTATGTCCCCCTCCTATGGGAAGTTTTACATGAAGCACAAAATTGTGCTTTTTCAAAAGATTGAGGTATGGATCTGGACTTCCAGTGTTTAGTTTTTGTTTGTTTGTTTCATTTTACGCCTTTTCCCCCAACAGTATTTTAGTCATATAGGCGGGTAGTTTCCTAACCATTGTTCCTGGAGAGTTACACCAGTACTAAACTACCTTCCTCCGTGCTAAACTACCAAAGCATCTCCCGGGGATCGACCCGAGCCAGAGAGGTAACTGGATTAGAAGTAATTGCCTCTAACCCCTTGACCATGGGGGCGGTGACTTCCAGTTCAAAATTTTGATCAATGCTTTATCTAACAAAAAAATTATTAAAGAAATATAATGAAATAACTCCTGTGAATGTGTCAACAGAAATACATTTGTATACTTGTTATCCACAAATTGTGACAAATACAAAATAAATACAGGATATGGTCTGTTAAAGGGTATATTTTGTGTCCAGTCATCAATCAAGGTATGTGGGCAATTCACCAATGACATTTTATTTGCATGGACCTGACTTGGCATCCTACCCTGTAACAAACTATTTTAGGCTTTGACCTCCAAGTGTAACCTTCACCTTTGAGGTAGGGGCCTAGATGTTGCGCATGACATGTCTTATTATTGTTAACATTTGTGCCAAGTTATTTTAAAATCCCTTGATTGATGAAAAAGTTATATACCACACACAAAATATACCCTAGAACAAACCATGTTTAGCTTTTGTACTCGAGTGTGAACTTGACATTGAAGGTATGAGTATATTGAATATGACACATGGTCCTATTATTCTGAACATTTGTGCCAAGTAACTTCAAAATCCCTTGAACAATAAAAAAATTATTGACTGCTCACAAACTATACCCTATAAAAGACCATGCTAAGCTTTGACCTCTAAGTGTGGCCCTGACCATGGACAGAAGGTTAACCTTTTATCACCAAGTGTGACCTTGATCTTGAAGGTAGGTGTTTGGGTTTTGTGCACAACACATCTTACTGTGAACATTTGTGCCAAGTATTTTCAAAATCCCTTGATGGATAAGAAACTTATGCACTGGAAAAAAATATACTCTATGACAAAGTTAATCTTCGACCTCCAACTGTGACCTTGACCTTGGAGGTAGGAAACTGTTTGCTGCGCTTGACACATTGTTTATTATTGTGAACATTTGTGCCAAGTATTTTCAAAATCCCTTCATGGATAAGAAAGTTATGGACGGGACACCACATATACCCTCAAATAGACAATGTTGACTTTTAATCACCAAGTGCGACCTTGTCCTTTGAGGAAGGGGTCTGGCTGTTGTGCATGACACATCGTATTATTATAACAAACATTTGTGCCAAATTATTTCAAATTCCTTAGATGACACAACATAGTTATGGACCGAACACGAAAATGTGACAGACAGACAAAGTCTATTTCTATTATCGAAGGACCTAGTGAAACTAGAACTGCCACTGTCATGGCATGGGTCACCAAATGGACATGACCAACCTCCATGCCATATACGAAGACTGTGAGTCAAAGGCTTCGGAGGTTATTTGGAGGACAAGCTTTTTGAAGTCAAGGCCCCTGTGACCTTGACCTTGGACCTCGAAATAAATGGGGTCATCTACTAATAATGACTAACCTCTATGCCAAATATGAAGACTGCGGGACAAAGGATTCTTAAGTTATTGGGCACAGTCAAGGCCCCTGTGACCTGGTGACCTCAAAATCAATAGGGGTCATCTACTAATCATGACTAACCTCCATGCCAAATATAAAGACTGTGGGTCAAGCTTTTTTCAGTCAAGGCCCCTGTGACCTTGACCATGTGACCTCAAAATCAATAGGGGTCACCTACTAATCATGACTAACCTCCATGCAAAATATAAAGACTGTGGGTCAAAGGAATCTTAAGTTATTGGGTGGACAAGCTTTTTGAAGTCAAGGCCCCTGTGACCTTGACCTTTGACCTCAAAATAATTTGGGGTCATCTACTTATCATAACTAACCTTCATGCCAAATATGAAGACTGTGGGTCAAAGGATTCTCAAGGTATTTGGCGGACAAGATTTTTAAAGTCAAGGCCTCTGTGACCTTGACCTGGTGACCTCAAAATCAAAAAGGGTCATCTACTAATCATGACTAACCTCCATGCCAAATATGAAGACTATGGGTCAGAGGACTCTTAAGTTATTAGTCGGACAAGAAAAAACCGATGGACGCCCGACGGTCAAGCTGATTCCAGTATACCCCTCTTACAACTTTGTTGTGCGTGGGTTTAAAAAATGACTGATTCAGTGAATGGTTCATGAGAAAAAAAGTTCTTAATTGGTTGTCTAATAGTGTGGTAGCCACCAAAAGGAGAAACCAAGATAGGACCTTCAAATACTACTTTTAATGAGATCTATCACAAATAAACATTATTTTATTAGAGCCATTATCATAGCAGTTTTTAAAACAAAAGTCTCACTGATGCTTTTGATGAGCCAAACATAAAATATTTATATATCATATTAAATATTTAAATATATAATTGACAACAGTGATTTTCTTTAATACTTTATTGCAGCATAAAAATAACTATATTCACTGAATATTTCAACTTGCTGATAGTATCTGAAAAAAAGAAAATACATTAGTAAATATAACTTTTCACATATATACAAGTTATATCAGATGTAATTACTTGTTCATGATATTCTGATGAAATAAACATTGATCACCTAAAATAACTTGCACACTAGTAAGTATTAAGTTATTGTTAGTACATGCATTTAAAATTTATTGGAATTCATTACCAGCATAGTCAATTAAAGTTACACCAATTTTGACACTGACATAAATGTCTTAACAGTTTATTCATATTAAAGTATGCAGGCTCAATTTGCTGGTGACTTCTTTTAATCAAAGGTGACACAGTCAGTGAGAAAAATAGTGCATTACCCTTTTTGTCATGTTGTTAGGTTTAAAGAAAGAACATTTTTTACAGATAATGCAAGACATAATATTCCTTAAATCAGCCTCGAGTTTTCTAGCAGATTTAATAGTATAAAAGTGATAGTGTGCTCTCTTTCGTATCGTCAAATTGACTATATATTTCCAAAGATTGACTGTTTTAATGGCAAAAAGTTCATACTGGAAAATAAGGTTTAGGATAAAATATAAATCTGCCAAAAATATAAAAGGACCGCCTACTCTTTATAAAGTGAGCATAACAAGTAAATTCTGATGGATATTTATAGAAACATTCAAGAATCATACGAGTTATATATCATTCAAGCCAAAATGTAAACTTATTTGACTTTCATCTGTTCACTCACTATACCCTTGGATGGGCATAATGTCACTTTAAAAGCTGCCAGTGGAAGTTTTCATCAATATAATTATTTTCACAAGCTTTCAGTAGGATTTTAATACATAGTTTTCATAACATGACACATAATCCATCACCTACAAACCAGAAATCATTTGCTATTCATACTACATAAAATAAACAATGCAAAATATTTCATGGGATACAAATCTGGGGATCTCTTAAAGGAAATTAGACAAGGGCAAAAGGTAAAACAGTCTGTGGTGATTCTATTGATATTGTGTCTGATTTTTGCTATAAATATCAAGTATAAAACTGTTATATCTTTACCAATTTCAGACACTCTTGATCTCTCTATGTGTCTTCTTCTCAAACACCTTGGGCTTGTATTTCTTCTGTTTCCTAAAATATCAATGGTTTAATGTTGGCATAAAATATCAATGGTTTAATGTGAGCATAAAATATCATTGGTTTAATGTTAGCATCAAATATCAATGGTATAATGTTAGCATAAAATATCAATGGTTTAATGTTAGCACAAACTATCAATGGTATAATGTTAGCCTAAAATATCAATGGTATAATGTTAGCCTAAAATATCAATGGTATAATGTTAGCATAAAACATCAATGGTATAATGTAAGTATAAAATATCAATGGTATAATTTTTAGCATAAAATACCAATGGTACAATGTTAGCATAATATACCAATGGTATGTTAGCATAAAATATCAATGGTATAATGTAAGCTAACTCATTCTTGAATTCTTGCATAAAAACTGGGCATGCAGGTATACTCAATGGAGGACAAAACATGTATTAAAAGTGAGATTCTTGTAACCATGCACCATTGTTGTACATTTTCAATGTGCACGACTCGGGCTTAATACAATGATTGTCAAATGACATTGCACTTGAACAGGGAAAACATGAAACAAGCAATTTTTTTATACATAATACAAAGAAAAAATCTTGGAAAAACCAATTTGGACTTGTACTTTTGAGCAAGAACAGCGCTGATTCACCTTTTTTGATGCATTTACATTGATAGAAGTCCTAAGTTTAACAAAAACCTTCACTCTGCTGGCTCTGGCTTTAAATGCATCCTTGTGATTCTGCATATGTTAATGCACATAAAAAGTGAACTAACCCTCTAGTCTTACCATCTAAACTACAGTAATCTTGCATAGAAATCTTGCATCTTGTGAAGAAATTTATTTCTTATTGTGTAAATTGTTTAAAAACAAATAGATTTTCTGATTTACAGAGGAAAAAAGTCTATATTTACTTGGGAATAGGTCGACCTCGTACTTCAAGAATATTCCTCTTCATCAAACTGTTAAATCTGTCCAGTAATATATGACCTTCAGGCTGTAAATAAAGGTCAAGTATACATGTGCATACAATAGACAACTGCATTAAGTAAATACCAGTAGCAATGGCAGGATTGTATATATTACCTATACTACAGAAAACAACTTGCATATAACATTTTTTTGCCTTTAAATTCCACACAACTATTTTTGTGTTTTGATGTAAATCCTAAATCAACTTAGCAAGAAAATCTACAAAGTGTCCTTGATTTGTAATTAGAATTGAAAATCTGATCTTAGTTAAGCCAGAATTTCAAAACTATAAAATTCCAGTTTAACAATAATCCAAATTCATATCTCATATTACATCATTTTTTGATGTGAAATAAATGAAGTATTAACCCTTTCACTGCCATAGGGACGGCTTAAGCCGTCCCTGTTATTTTCGGCGTATTTGCCATATGGACGGCTTTAGCCGTTTCTATAATAATCATAATAATAATAATAAATTAATAATAATAATAAAAATAATAATAAATATAAAGAAAATTATACCATCGACAATAATTATTATTATACTAGCATATTTGGAAACATATATAATTATTATAATACTAATAACAAATAATAATAATAATTATATTAATTAATAATATAGTAATTTCTTAGAAAACCCTCTGGCAAATAGGTGATCAATAAAACAATAACCCTCTGGCAGCGAAAGGGTTAATGTAGGATCAAGATTTACATAAATGTTAACACATACCCTCATCTCTCTCAGAGAGCCAGTGAGTTCATCACTTAATTTCACTTCCAAGTCAGGCTCCTCAAATCTTAATATTTGGTTAAAGAATGTTCTAGATATTACAAACATTTATAGTTAAGTGTCTGAAAAAATTAAGTTTTGTTTATCTTGAATGACCAGTATATTTAAACAGAAATGAAGAAATTTTTATCACAGGGTCATGATTTAAGTAACTTGTAGAGTAAATTACACAATGCTACATGCCAAATATCTAAGCTCTGGGCTTTGTAGTTTCACACAATAAAGGAGTTTGGTTTTGTCATGACGCGGCTCAAATGTGTTTTCCTATATAAAGTCTATACAAATTAGTGACCCCCCCCCCCAAGGGTTTCAGTCTGAGAAAGCCGAAACCTGCCTTTGGCATATTGTCTTGAGTAACATTTCTGCTAAAAAGTTTTAATGTCCTTCTGTCAGTTCAATAGATACGGAGCGGACAAAATATTTTTGAAATTCCTACATAATGATTAATGTGACCTTGACCTGAGGAAGGTCAAACTTGCGCTTTGGACATCATCTTATTATGGTTAACATTTATGCCAAGTAGTTTCAATTTCCTTCCATCTGTTTAAAATATAAAGAACAGACAAAACTTGATAACAGACTGCCAGGAGCCAAAAAATTAAAATTAAATTTTTTTTAGAAATGCTGTATTTTGTCACTCAAATTATACAAAAATCTCACAGATTCAACATCGTACATTAACAGCTAGTGAGATTTTATAAAGGATACTTGTTTTTACTAAGTGTTTTATTATAAAGGATACTTGTTTTTACTAAGTGTCTTATTATAAAGGATACTTGTTTTTACTAAGTGTTTTATTATAAAGGATACTTGTTTTTACTAAGTGTTTTAGTTCTCGAGAGGTCTCTGGCTTTCTTTTCTTCTTTTTTTTTCCTTCTCTCTGAGAAAACTTTATCATCTGCTTTTATCTCGGCTTTTATAGACCTTAATCTGTTAACATAGACACATTTACAATCAATAAGAGATTCAACAAACCTTGTCAAATGTTTTTTTGATTTCATTGACAAGTTATATTAATAGATATTAAAAAGTCGTTTATATTTAAACTTTGTGGAAACAAAAATCATTTATTTAAAAAACAAGAGCTGTCGGTAGGACAGCACGCTCGACTTTTCTAAGTGCTTGATAGTAAAAGAGCCTTTATAATGTTAAATTTTTTAAGTTCACAAAAGAGCTAATTTTTTTCATAAATTCATGTTATAGGCCTTAGAGAGAGTCTAATTATACAGTATTTGCTTGACTATTTGGAAGGTAATGTCATTAGGGTGTTTTATTGAGTATAATAATACTAATTACCTATGAATACATAAATTTGACAGAAAAGGTACAAAGGCTTGTTATTAAGATGTTTTATCAAGTTAATCACTGCTTTATTATTATGAATGCATAAAATTGTCCCAAAAAAGGTACAAACCCTTCAGTAGTTATTGAGATAACAGCTTACAAGCAAAACTTTACCATGAATTTTTAAGTTGAAAAAGGGGAGAAAAATCAGCCTAAATGCAAGATAGAATTATGGATCATTGTCAGTGACCTACAATTATGACCCTAAATGCATATGTGAAGTTTTAAATAAATATCTTTAATAGTTATTGAGATATGTAAAACTATCATGTTAACATTAACCAAGAGACTATGTAGAAAAGGGGATATGAATCAGCCTTAATGCAAGATAGAGTTATGGAACTTGGTCAGTGACATACAATTATGACCTCCAATTATGACCCTAAGTGCATGTGTAAAGTTTCAAGTAAATATCTTTGAAGACCTTTAACCTTTAACCAAAATTTCTTAAGTTTCAAAGGGGCAAATAATTCTGCAAATATTGCAGGCAGAGTTATGCAATTTTGCAAACTGATATACATTGTTACTATAAAAGAGTATTTTAAATTTCAATTGAATATCTCAAGCAATAATTAAGATATTTGACTTTACAAAAAAAACTTTAACCAAAATTTCTAAGTTCCAGAGGGGTATAATTCTGTCAATATTGTAGGCAGAGTTATCCAACTTGTCAATCTGATGTACCTTGTTACTATAAATAAGTATTGTAAGTTTCAATTGAATATCTCAAGCAATAATTGAGATATTTGACTTTACAAAAACTTTAACCAAAATTTCTAAGTTAAAAAGGGGCATAATTCTGTCAATATTGTAGGCAGAGTTATCCAACTTGTCAATCTGATGTACCTTGTTACTATAAATAAGTATTGTAAGTTTCAATTGAATATCTCAAGCAATAACTGAGATATTTGACTTTACAAAAAACTTTAACAAAAATTTCTAAGTTAAAAAGGGGCATAATTCTGTCAATATTGTAGGCAGAGTTATCCAACTTGTCAATCTGATGTACCTTGTTACTATAAATAAGTATTGTAAGTTTCAATTGAATATCTCAAGCAGTAATTGAGATATTTGACTTTACAAAAAACTTTAACCAACGCAGACGCCGACGCGGACGCTGACGCCGACGCCGACGCCGGGGCAGTTTTGGGAAATTGTGTAATTTTACTTCAATGACCATAAACTAATCCTAAAATATTGTGAGCAAACTAAAAGTGCAAACAACAAAAATTCATTTTTTTCTAAATCTTTCTTTTACCTAAAAAAGTTGTTGTTTTTTATTCTTTTCTGTTTTTCCTTTTCTGCTAATTGTGCCTGAAATGGAAAACATATTCTATAATAACCAATGTTAACAAGAGCCATGTCAACATGGCCATCCCCCGCCGAATGTGTTTGCTCATTGGAAAAATGTATATGTAGTAGAGCAGAATAATTCCATTTTAAGAGGTCTTTTGATAATGAAAACTGATGGCTATAGTGATTACAGATTTGAAACCTATGTGAATACTGATGGCTGAAAATAACAAAGGGCAATAACTGAAAAATAATGCAGGGTAGGTTATCATTCTTGTGTGCTGCATCCCTCCTCAGTAAAATCTATCCTCCTATGAAATTTCAAGTTGATACCTCAAATACTTTTTGAGACAAGAGGGCCATGATGGCCCTGAGGTCGCTCACCTGTATATAGGCCCCCCAACCCCCCCCCCAACGTTGCAGGGCCAATTTAACCCAAGGGCTTTTATTTGAACAAACTTGGTAGACACTCACTAGAAGATGTTTCATGCCAAATATCTAAGCTCTAGCTCTTATGGTTTTTTAAAAGAAGATATTTAAAGTTTTTTCTTTCGGTTGCCATGAGTTCTGCATGGAATTAAATTCTTTGAACAATTTTTAAAGGTGACCACCAAAGGAACATTCCTGTGAAGTTTGGATGAAATTGGCTTAGTGGTTTATGAGGAGATGTCATTTAAAGTAAAAGTTTACGGACGGACGCCGGACGGATGCCGGCCGGACGCCGGACGAAAAGCGATCACAAAAGCTCACCCTGTCACAGGTGAGCTAAAAAAAAATTGAATTGAAAAATTAAGTATGAAAAATAACAAAGGGCAATAACTCAAAAATTATAAAAGGTAGAGTTATCATTCTTGTGCACTGCACACCTCCTGAATTAGATCTATGCACCTATGAAGTTTCATAATGTTATCTCAAAGGCCTTTTGAGTTATGCTCTGGACAAAAATTAATTTTGAAAAATAACAAAGGGCAATAACTCAAAAATTATGCAGGGTAGAGTTATCATTCTTGTGCACTGCACTCCTCCTCAATGAGATCCATCCACCTTTGAAGTTTCCAGTTGATACCTCAAATACTTTTTGAGATAAGCCCTGGACAAAATAGCATGAAAAAGAACAAAGGGCAATAACTCAAAAATTGTATAGGGAAGAGTTATCATTCTTGCGCACAACATTTCTCCTCAATAAGATCTATCCACCTATGACATTTCATGTTGATATCTCAAACACTTTTTGAGTTATGCCTCACTCAGGTGAAAAATTAAGTAAGAAAAATAACAAAGGGCAATAACTAAAAAATTATGAAAGGTAGAGTTATCATTCTTGTGCACTGCACACCTCCTGAGTGAGATCTATGCACCTATGAAGTTTCATGTTGATATCTCATAGGCTTTTGGAGTTATGCTCTGGACAAAAATCAATTTTGAAAAATAACAAAGGGCAATAACTCAAAAATTATGCAAGGTAGAGTTATCATTCTTGTGCACTGCACTCCTCCTCAATGAGGTCTATCCACCTATGAAGTTTCAAGTTGATAACTCAAATACTTTGAGAGATATGCTCCGGACAAAAATGTCGGACGGACGGAAGGTCGGACGGACGGACGGAGACTATTTCTATATCCCCCGCCGAAAAGTTTTCGGCGGGAGATAATAAAAAAAACAACTTTAAATACAATGTACTTCCTGAAGTTCAGGAACATACAACATATACTTAAGAAGATAAGAAAAGTAAACAATGGAAGAATGCTGATTTCAAATGAAATAGTCATTTTTTTTCGGACAAGCTAATTTGAGATTATATGTTACAGAACATAACACTAGCAGATATATCATTATAACTTGTTGAGCTAATTTATCACTTCATCTTACAGGAATGTTGATTAAATACCTTTTCCTTCATTGCCTTCTCCTTTTTTCTTTTCCTTTCATCTTTTTTATTTTCTCGTCTAACTGGAGGATTGACTGACAGTTTATCAAGGTCACCTTCCTCGTCTTCATCTTCATTATCAGAGTTGTGAAACAAGCCTGCTGACATTTCTTGTAAATGATTTGCCTGGTGTAAATATATAATTTGTTTTGTTTCAAAACTCACAGGTTAAAAACCATAAAGTGGTTAATTGAACTCTTTATAATCAGACTAACACTATTATATACATATGTATGTATTTTAGCACTGACTACAGCAGCAGTTTTTATGGTACATCTATTTTGGTTATGCTTCCATCAAACATTTAACTTTTCTAATGGTCCTTGGTAATATCAACTTGAGCTACTAATGAATCCTATTAAGTTTTATTGAAATTGCATTAGTGGTATAAGAGTAGTAGTCCTCTAGGCGGGAGGAACACTCAACTTATACATTTTTTTTTCAAAAGCAAACAAATAAAAGGTTTAAAAAAATTACAGAAAAAAAGTTTAAAAAATCAAAGTATGTCACTAGGTCAAAATCAAAGTCAGCTGATATTCAATTTTACATCTAAAACTGTGCAAATAGTCCAAATTTCATAGATGTACATCAAAGGACATGAAAGTAGGTCACAACAACAAAATCTAGGTCAGCTGATATTAAAGAAAAAGGAATAAAGGATTATAAAAAATGAAACAAATAAAATACTGGTTTTACATCTAAGACAAAATTTCAGTTTTGCACTGGAATAAAATCCTCTAAATGTAACTTATTAAAAACTTCTCTTGTTTGTCACTTTATGCTAAGGCAAAGCTTGCTGATAAGTACTGTAAAAATACTTAAGTATAAAGAAAGTAGGGAAGAAATGTTCATAATTCTTACCTCTGTTGGGGCATCTCTTGCTGAGGGAAACTTTTCATCTAAAGCTCTTTTAATTCTTTCTTCTTGTTTTATTTTTTTCAATTCTTTACTGTGTGCTTTTTGTAACAAATCCTTTAATATGTAATAAATAACGCAATAAATAATGTCAAAATTCAATGCTTATAACTTATGTTACTTTATCTTTCTAAACTAAAATAGAGATATTTACTTACTTAATATCTAGATTATCAATGGTTTTTGTGTTTTTTTGTTGGATTTTAAGATGTACAGATAAATTTGTAATGGTCATAAGGATTAGTTACAAATAATATGAACATATCATTCTAGAACACTTTATTATCAGAAGTAAATTTATTTGTATATGATATATTTATAATCCATGTTTAACTTTTCCCAACTCCAAAAAAAGATCAGACCACTTTTATGAATCTGATTGATTTGATAGTTACAGGAGATACTTAAAGGAGATTAATAACATCTGTCATATGTTGCAGAATATCCATCCTTAAGGAGGATACCTGAGGGGCAGAAATTCAGATCTGAACCGCAAACAAGTCAGATATCTTTTCTTGCATATTCTATCATATTTCAAATTCTTTATCTCAAGAAAACAATTTTTCATGAAAATTAATGTCACAACATTTGTAACTATTTTCTAACAATAGTGTATTAATTTACAACGTCATTCATAACAGGAAAATGACGTCATCCTAGGCACACAGATTCAATTTTTAAATGTACCTAAACCATGTCATTTTAATGTGGTTTATTCATAAAATGTGTTACAATGTCATTATTGTTTAGCACATGCCTTATATCTGGTGCACCCCATGCCAGACAAAATTTCCGGCATGGGTAAAACAACGGAAACACCAGTCTGATATGCAAGAAAAATATGTTTAGGGGCAAACAACAAGTTAAATTTGAACTGATAAGAATAAATAGGGGAAGTTAAACATACATACCTGGTACTCATCATAAGCAGGGTTATAGGAAGTTCCAGGATGAGGTATTTCCACTGCTGGTATAGATGAAACAGGCAACTGTAAACGATCAGGTGCCTGAAATACAGCAAAACTTGTAACAAGTTAAAGAAATTCTGGCCAATGCTACAGCACAGCTCTACCAGAAATGAATGTGTTCATCTAACTTAAAGTACATGTAGATAAGAAATGCAAGTACTTCATGACGAATTATATTAATATACATTCTATCTAAATTGAAAATTAAGGATAAGGTTTATTTACATAAACACTTTCAAAATATTAAAATCAAGACTATAAAAAGTACAAGTATATGCAAAGAAAATGTAAATGTTTTTAGTTTGTGTTGGAAACTAGGTTTTTAGTTTTTTGTTTGATTGTGTTGGAAGCTATAAGCTTTTTGAAACACTCTTGAATCTGTTCCTGGACCCAACCAGTACTTAGCTATGAGTGTAAACTTTCTTGCCCAACAAAACAATAGCTTTCCTCTAGCAGGATTTGAACGCATGCAGCTAGCAATCCTTAAATCACTAGTCTGAAGTGTTAACCACTCAGCAACTTCTTTAAATTTTAACTTGTAGCATGGACTTGGCCTGCTATGCATTAAGAACAGTTCAGTGTTAGTTTCAGAGTTTTCAGACAACAAATAAACAGTACTAAGTCTGGTCAGACTAAACAGTATTACACTCTGAGTTGGCTCTATACTGGGGGAATATGAAAGTCATTGTTCAAACAAAATTATTACGTGCTGTGATTTTTTAGGCTAGTATCATTTTAATGTGTGTAAAGCTATATATCTGCTGCAAAGATTATTGTTTGAGTTGGTAGTAAATTGCCTTAAAAGCGAATGGTGTATGCGATAAATCGTTGCTTAATTTCTTAAAATAGCAATGTAGCATTTTGTATTCTAACATTTTACTCTTTTCCATACAATATTTATGTGTTATTGTTAATTCTAACACGACCCACATTTTCCCTATTGAACATAGAAGAACCTAAAGTGTGTGTTATTATGCTATAAAATCACTGTTTGAAGTTCTATATTTAGACATGTGAGGTAAGCATTATACATGTGACGTAACCACTAAAAATGTGACGTGCTGACAGTAAGTATGGAAACAAATCAGGCATAATTTAGCTAAATATCATCACTGTTTGTCGTTTGGATGCACATCATTATATCATTTGGGCTACGCCCTCGTGATATAATTCCCCGCATCTGAACTCCAAACAGTGATGTTATTAAGCAATAAAATCACAGTTTGGGATATATTATTTCTTAAATAATTGCAACGTTCTATGTTAAAATGCTTTCAAGAATCAAACATAAGATATGGAAACAGTATAATTTTACTGTCAAAAATTTTCATAAAATTTTTCATTAGATACAGTTTTATACACTTTAGACAAAAAATAAATACCTTTACTCTTTTTTTCTTTGTAACTGTGATAAAATGTTCATCTTGACCAACAAGTTCAGAATCTAATGTATCTGAAATGTCATGTATTTAAAGTAAGTTACTGATATACCTAATATATATTTACACTACTAAATACAAAACCCTCCCATATCAAATTTAATGAACAATTTTATTAAATGTGGTACCAAACAATTTTATTTCTTGACTTGCTAGAAAGTTTACAAACTCTTATTCATATATAAACCTTACATAATCTGTTCCATGATATAGAGTCCTCGTTATAATGTATTATACAGATTGAAACTTGTAGTACAATTTCATCTCTAATCAATAATGAAGAAAAGAAGACTACTAATATATTGTCTGCAACAAAATTGAGAAACAAGAGCGCCACTATACGGAGCATTATATGCCCGAAAGTGATTTTTTTTTAGCAAAGATGAAGCATTGGTAAGACATGGGAATTAAATAAAGTATTACCTCCTTCAAATAACAATCCTCCTATGAAGTTTGAATATTGTGGGCCAAATGGAACTTAAACTCCAGAAACTGTTAATAGTGACCTTGACCTTTGACCTTGTGACCCTTAAATCAATAGGGGTCTTCTACCTAATATGGACAATCATCCTATGAAGTTTATATATTATGGGCCAAATGGAACTTAAGTTATGCCCCGGAAACTGTTTTCAGTTTTAAAGTAATAGTGACCTTGACATTTGACCTTGTGACCCCAAAATCAATAGAGGTCTTCTACCCAATATGGACAATCATCTTATGAAGTTTGAAGATTGTGGGCCAAATGGAACTTCAGTTATGCTCCGGAAACCAAATTGCTAACGGACGGAAGAACGGACAGAGGCAAGGGGGTATAACATAATATGCCCAAAATTCTTTCGGGCATATAAAAAGTTACAAACCCAATAGTTTGTAAATCTTATGTTCATTTTCCATATTTTATATCAAGCATCAATAAACATTAATTGGCTACAAACCTCCCCATAGATCATAATTAACTGGTGCATTTTTTCCCCTGGTTCTCACTTGATGTAGTTTCTGGTTTCTGGCTTTACGTCTTTGTTTAAATGCCTGTTTCTGGGTGTCTGTTAGTTTTCCGCTTGCTTCCCTCTCAATCACTGCTGAAATTCTTTTATCTTTCCTAAAATATATATGAACTAATACTACGGCACACATAATACTTGATCATACAGGGATTTTTTTGGGCTCATTTTATAGCCGGTATTCGGTCATATTCCCAATTGAAAATAGTATATTATTTTCCCAATCCACAGGAAAAAATTCCAATTGGAAAGTTACAAAATAAAAATATTGAATAACAAGTTGTAAAATCTTTGAAAATAAGGGCTTCTTGACTGTTATGCCAATAACATTTTCTTAAGTGTTTGAAGATGCTATCCTAGACAGTGATTCCTTACAATTCATTTAATCACTGCAAAATTTAAGTCATGCCTTTTTTTCCCGATTTTTAACAAAACATCGCTGGAATTCCCAATTCCATGGGTATGGGTCATGTTCCCAAAATCCTGGAAAAAAACCCTGTCATAGATAACTTGTAGGACTTTCCTCCTTGAATTAAGCCTGTTGTTTGTTTAATGAAAACATTAAAAACATATTAAACATGACACATACGAGTACTAGTTAGTTTTATTAGGATTGGATATAAAGAGTATAAAGCTATATCTGATAAACTATTTTAACTAGGTCTATAAAAGATAAAATTATGTTACTTCCAATATATCACAGTTGATTCCTGAATGAGTTGTAACAAACAATATATCTGTTATTTAACACACATGAATACTATGCAGAAACAGAATTAAATGTTCTGGAACAAAATATTATGCTGCTACATGTATTTTTTAAATTGGGTTCTAGACATTTAGTAATGAGAATGCACTCTCATGTAACTTACAAACATTATACTTTATACAGGTATTGTGGAATGACTCATTTACAAAATTAAAACAGAAATTTTATAAAGTACAGGCATCTTAAATATAGCTTTATAGTATACACTTTAAAGATATAATGAAATTTTGACCTTGCTATCTTTACTTGTCACAAGCAGATACCATCATGAATAAAACCACCAACATTCAGTATTACAATCTCAAAGAATGAATTTAAACAATTAAACAAATAAATATTGATAAAGGACAAATTGGCCATAAAGACAAAAACAGTTCTTCATTTCACATGAGAAAGAGGTATTTTGCACCAAGGTTGGACAAACTGTGATGAAACTTTTTTCTTGTTGACAAGTAGCACTTGACCATTTCAGTCAAGTCAAGTATTACAGCACAAGCTTATAAAAAATGGACTTAAAAATAAACTATAGTCAAAATATTTTTTCATCTAATAGAATATTAGTTATTTAAGGTCAGAAAATGTATACAATATTCTTACATGACTTTGTTTGTCGTTGTGATGCAAAAAAAATTAACTTTTTTAGGCCTTTGGTCTTTGTGAACAATCCATATGCATCAATTCTCTGAATGGGTGTTAAATAGCCAATAAACACCACTGAGACTGATTTAATTTCTTATATACATTTGGAATTTAATGCTAAAACAATTGTACTCACTTTTTCTTAGGTGGAGGCTTTAATGCTTCTTCTATAACCTTTAACTCTTCTTGTGCCTTTCTCTTTCTTTTAACTTTATCTTTTAAACCTAGTAACAACAAAAAAGATGACAGAATACTGAAATCAGTCAAGTTGATAAAACAAGAACACAGATGAAAGGATGATGTTAGAAAATCAAAATGATAAAATAAGTTTCTACAAACAACTTAAAAATCAATTGTATGAAACACTTTATCATTTGTTTGGTTTTTATTCTATAAAATATTAATCAGCGGTTTTCTCACTTAATTTGGAAGAGGCCTCTGCCTCTTGATTTTGGGAAAATTGTCGCTAAAATTGCTAACTTGGGGTAAGTTCAGATTTTGGGAAAACTGCACCAATTTAAAGAAAAATTCATTGGGGAAGAGGCCTTTTAGAGGCCACTGTTATATAAGGAGGAAAATCATTATCAATACATACCTCCTTTTCCCTTAGTAACTTTTTTGTCTACAAAGAACAAAGAAGCATCACTTTTCTCTGAAACCTTTCCACTGTAATAGAGAAATATTCACCTGTTTATGCACAATAATTACACAAATATAAGCATAAAGTGAATGATAAATAAATGATCTATCTAGCATTATTTCAGTTTGTTTACTTTCACAAAATCACAAATGTAAAACAATAAAATAGATCAAAAGAAAAGAAAACAATAAGAAAAACTTTTGAGAATGATATTGTCAATTTATTTATTTAATATCATAATAGTTGTTTGTTTCAATGATGTGTATGTAAAATATAAATAATGGTAAGGGAGATGAACAAATATTCTTTTAATGGTTCAGCTTAAAATTGTCATAAAATCTGGCATAATATTAACAAGAATGTGTTTGGTAAAAGGTTTACCCATTTAGTCAGTTATGGATGGAAAAATTGCCAAATAAATTGTAAACTCAGTTATATAACTTTGACAGAATCATGACCTTTGTGAAAAATGTAAGTTGGCATGTCATTGCTATTTGATGAAGTTGAAAAATATTCAACTTGCCAATAAAAGTTTATCAAATATATAAATGCAAGATCTTGACCTTAAACCCAGTAACACCAAACTCCGCCCAAACAGGACAAACTGATGTATGTTCCTTTCAAATATGAAATATTAGTGAAAAAAGGCTGTATAGTGAAAACAGGCTGTATAAGAAGTGTAAAAAAATAATGACTTTGTACATGTGACTTCCAACACTGGACCATCCAAGTATGTTCTTTCCAAATTTGAAATATGAAAAACATCAGGCTGTATAAGCAAATGTGTAGAAATCTATTTCTGGCACTCTTGACTCACTGACTATCCAATCCAAAGGAAGAAGACCATGCAAGTTATCTTCCTTCCAAATATAAGACACATCAGTCTATAAATAAAGGCTGTATAAGCAAATGTGTAGAAATCTATTTTTGGCACCCTTGACCTTAACCTACTGACCCCTAACTCAATCCTAAGAAAGAAGACCATGTAAGTTACCTTACTACCAAATATGAAGGCTCTAAGGGCTAAAGTATGACAAGACAAATTATTTTTTAACAAGCAATTATCATAGTATTGAAAGCAATCCATAAGTCCCCTACTGGTTAGAACCCTAGCAACATTCTGATGGGCATTGACCATTCAATTTTACCAGTGAATGAATGACATGAATGAACTTAAATCTTTTGAGTTCTAAGTTTGTCTATATCATAGTAATATGTTAAGTATCCCTGCCTAGTAAGGAAATTATGTTTATACAACAGATAATCAAAAGGTTCAATTTTCTCAGGATGAATAAGTATAACTAATGTTTCAACTTTTCTCTATTTTAAGTAAATTTGTTGGGAAAAATCTTTAAAAGTGATCTCAGGAAACAGTTTTTATGAAAAGACTGACTGAAGGAGACTCTTATTAAAGTTATTTTTTTTAAACATCTTGAAATAAAGATGCTAGATTTATGAACATTGTCATATATGATGTGAGTTTTACTTTAAGTTTAAAGATACCATTTATAGTCACAAAGAAGATAAGTAAAAAAATAACAATTTTCAAATATAGCATTAACTATTATGTATAGTAAGTAACAAAGATGAAAATTTAAAAATATATATATATATATATAATGTAGGTGTTGATAATAAATGTTTATTTTTGAATTTGAAGAAAATCCATGAAGAAATAAGAAAGTAAAAGAATGAACAAGAAAAATTCAAAGTTTAAGGAGGAGATAATTCCGGAAATATGGACTCTAGATTCATAAACCTTGCCATAGTATTACGATGTGGGATTTTAAAGTAAAAATTATACAAGGAATTAAGAAGTTGGAGTAAAAAATACCAATATCTCAAAAAAAATCTAAGTTCAAGGGGGACATAATTCTGAAAATAGTCTTGCTAGAGTATCTAACCTTCTCACAAAAGTTGAGTGATAATAAGAAACATATATATGAAGTTTGAAGTAGATACATTAAGAAATAACGAAGTTATTTAAAAAAGACAACATTTTTTTCATAAAAATTCTAAGTTCAAGGGAGGTAATTCTGATAAATTTTGTGCTAGAGTTGTTAACCTTGTCACATATGATGTGGTTGATGACCAGAAACTTATATTTAAAGTTTGAAGTAAACACCTTAAGAAATTAAGAACTTCTAGTGAAAAAGCGTAAAAATTCAAATCAGGAATCTTGAAATTCAGTCTATTTGTTGCCATAGCAACCAGAATTTTCAACATAGGAAGAAAAGAAAAAATGTGCATAATTTCCAGACTGCCATTTATCCATATTTCAAGTTTCATAAGAACATTTTCAGTACTTTTTGAGTTATCAATGGATCCAGTTTATGTGTTAAATTTGCCATATTTTCAGTCTATTTGTTGCCATAGCAACCAGAATTTGAAAAGAAAAAGATGTGCATAATCTCCATACTGCCATTTATCCATATATCAAGTTTCATAAAAATATTTAAAGTACTTTTTGCGGCTTAATCGCGGGATCCAGTTTTGTGGACGGACGGACTGACAGACAGACAGATAGACAGACGGAGGGTAAACCTAAAGTCCCCTCCGGTTAAACCGGTAGGGGACTAAAAAGCATTGATGACCTTGACCTAACTGACCCCTAACTCCATACAAAGGTAGAAGACTTCTCAAGCTTTTTTTTCCCTCCAACTATGAAATGCATCTTGCAATAGATAAAGGTTACACCTGTAAAAGTGTAAGAATATATTTTTGGCATTGGTGAGCTTTAGATATCGTTATTCATGCTTTGAATATGGGAACAAGTACAGCTACTCCAGTTCTTCACAATCTTTTTGATCAAGAACTTGCCCCTTCAGACAGACAACATAGAAGTTCAACTTGCCAGAATCCAATTTACCTTGCCCACAAGAAAGGGTGAGCTTTTCTTCTTTGCAAGTTATTCTGTAAATCAAGGAATGAGGCATGGGTGGGGGGAGGGATAGGAAATGGGAAAGATACTGGGAAATGGGAAATGTCTGAAAGAGGTCAATTTGGACAAAAGGAATAACAAGAAACATGGCAATGCCACGAAACCAGGTTATCAATTATCACCATTGTAGACAAATATGTTGTAGTTGAAATACAAATACAAGCAACAAACAATGTAACTATGTGCAATGAAAATCAAGAATAATAAATTTTCTATTTTAAGTAACTGTAACCTTGACCCTAGGGGGCCAAAATCCATCCCAAGTGAGGTCTTTATAAAAACTTGCTTTACACCAAATTTCATAAAAATATCTTATTCCAAACTAGTTATTGACTTGAAACCTATTTTCTATTTCCTGACTGGAAACAGATTTTCTATTTTTAGCAACAATGACCTTGACCTTGACTCTACAGGACCCAAAAGCAGGCAGATGAGCTGGCAGACATGCAACAACCTAGATAGTTTCTGTTTTATAACTAAATTAAGTTTGTTGTGATTAAAAGGATATATTACACTTATAATTAAATTTTATGGACAAAACAAAGGGCCATTAAAAAGTAAAAACTTATCCAATCACAAAACCCCAACAATATACACTACCATTTTGAAGTTCACTTTATCACAATTAATGTTTATAGGTTCACACATTCGTGTCCAGGCTTTAACTTTGTCATGCATGGAAGGATTTTTTAAAATAACTTGGCATAAATGTCTACCACATCAAGACGACATGTCGGGACAAAGACACATGTCAGTGGTTTTCTTCACCAAAATATCTGGCGAAATTCGGCCCCATTCCCCCTCAAAATAGTATGTTTTTTTCCCCCTCAATTTCCCCCTATACGGTAGCCCGAATTTGCCTGCAATGAACAACATTTTTTTAGCATCTTACTGCCGATAAATGTTCTATTTTATGCCTGTAAGACATACTGTTGTTGTTTACAAATTGTTCTCAGGTAGGCAAGGGGAGCTACTCCCAGCATCCCAACAACTTTAACATGCGATGCGTCAATATTTTAGATCCGTATATTAAGAAAAAGCAACGTATCTTAAACTTGTGTTGCAAGAGTTGCTCCCCTTTTCTACCAGAAAGAAAACAATATAAAATACATAAACAAGTGAAATTCCCCCTACTATTGCATTTTTCCCCCTCCAAAGGGCACCGACCCCATTCCCCCAAAAGTGAAAAAAAAACACTGGTATTTTATTTTAAATAATAACTACATTGTTTGAAAGTTTTTAATAATGATTGAGCTAGTCCAAATATTTAGATGTTAACGGCAGATTTGAAGCTATTTTTTACTTTGGTCAAATCTGCTTTAACGTCTGAAGATATTTATTTAAAAGTCCATAGCAAAATGAAAAACAATAAACATGCACAATCATTCAAACTCCTCATGTAAAATGTTAAAAATAGTGCTTGGTATTCATAATCTTACCACAAATATGTATTTTTCTTCTCAAAAACAACTTATTCAACTTTACACAAGCAGGTGTAAAAATTGTGTAAACAGCCTCCATATTGGTGTGTACTACGCATAGGGGTGATTATAAAAAAAAATTAAAGAAAATGCCATGTCTTTCAATGAAGGACTAATGATTGAGCATGATATTCAAAGAAAATTGAATAAACTTTTGAATAAATCTTGAAAGGCAAGACAATAAACATTTTTTGATTTTTATAGCGAGCTCCAAGAGCTGGCCTGAAGGGCCTGCTTGCAAGCGAGCTTTAAGTAACACGAGCACCTGCTAGATAGTGGTGGTTTTGAAAACTTTTGTCCGTTTATAGCCGTTATTGGGTCATATTCCCCATTGATAATAATATATTATTTTCCCAATCCACAGGAAAAAATTCCCAATTGAAAGTTACAAAATAAAAATATTGAATAAAAATTCTAAAATCTTTGAAAATAAGCGCTTCTTCACCGTCATAGACAGTAATTATTTGCATCCATTTAATCACTGCAAAATTTCAGTCCTGCAATTTTTCCCAATGTTGTAATGTTCTTTTATTAATGAACAATAATTAATTGAAATTAAATCAAGTGCGTTGATACAATGAAGTAAAATAAAACACAACTAGTGTTCAGCACCAGATATAAATTTATTCTGTAAACCCTTAACATGTGATCTTAGAAATTTACTAGAAATACTGAGCATGCGCAAACAAGCATTATAGATAGGGTCAGTTCAAGTTCATCATGTATGATGATACTACACCCAAATTTTTCTTTCACGAAAGGAGTTCAATACACATGTGTGTTAAGTTTGCTGTCAGAGATAACTGAGGTGTTTGTTAATTCATTACTCAAGAATCAAGGTGTTGATTAGATTAAAATAGCTGAATTATAATTACAGGTGTACATCAATCACTGTCAAATAATCTTAATCTCTCACAATGAAGGTGTTGCTAGGATTAAAATACCTGCAAAATGTGTTCAATTTACAGGCACTTTTCAGCTGATCAACATAAAACAATGTCTTAATATAAAACATAACTTAATATCAAACACATTCTTTTAATACGCGGAAAGTCCGAGCGGGGCCGAAGGCCCCGCGAGGGCTGTAGCGCTCTTAGATAACATGTATGACGCGTATAAATTCAAATGAAATCAAATTAAAAGTAAATGAAAATTTCAAAAAATATATCCTATACCTAATGAGCTGTGAAAAAATCCTTAGTTAACTGGGCGCCGCCATTTTGAAATCCTTTTGAGCTGAATATAGATATTAGAGCCCTTTTAATGAGCGTCTACATAATTTAGACTATTGCTAGCGTCTGCTAAATAACACTTCCGGTGAGAGAATGATGTGCAAAATCAGAAAGTAAACATTCATTTAATTGATAAGAACTATAGTAACGATTATAAATATAAAAAGTTACTTTACATATCCTTTTTGATAAATTAGCACATTAAAAATAACGTTAAAACAACAACTGTGATTAGAGATTTACAAAAAATGGCGGACAGGATTTTCCAAACGCCGACGCGTGCGCAGTGGTCCCCCTTTACGTTCGGAGATTGTCGGAATATTCTGAGCGCTCCCACGATAGGTTGAACACCACCAATTTATTTGTTTTGTTTACAGTACAAAATACCTGCAAGAAAGATCTGGTTTACATGTACAATAAACATCATGTTATGCTCAAACCATAGTTCATAAGAACTTTCCGCGCCATAGGTAGCACCTAATTTCATATTAATCTTCATTAAGAAATATTATTAGCGAGTTCGACGAGCTGGCCCAAAGGGCCTGCTCACAAAGCGAGCTTTACTGTAACACGAGCTGCTAGATAGTAATGGTTTTGAAAACTTTCATCCGAAGTACCGAATTGACACATCGCAACTTTTCGAATTACAAGATAACAATAAAAGCCGATGTACTCTGATTGAAAACGGAAGCGTAGACTGGTGTCCTGCGCAACTTATACGGGAACCATAATAGAAAGGGGGAACCAGAATAAACGGAAGCAGTGTATAAAATACCGAATGACAATTTTAAAACGGAAAATGTAAAATAAAAATGAACGATTATTTTAAACTATTTAAGTATTTTACGGTAAAAGAAAATCGAGCTCGCTCTGAGGCTTTGCCTTTTTCATATTAGATTAAGTCAAAACTAAAATGATCTTATAAAAAATTGGGGGAGAACTGTCTGCATAATTCAAATTTGGGAGAAAACCGTCAGGGGAGGAAACAGTTTGGGAAAGAACCGTCAGTAGGAACTGGTAAGGGAGAGAATAGTCTGTCATTCCAAGTGGCTGTGTCTACAAATTAAGAAAATCAATCAATGACAATTCAATACCCTGTTCTTTCTTGAAGTCTTTCGTCTTCTAAAAATTCTTCCACATCGTTGGTGTCTACTTTTCTCCAAGACTTTTTCTTATTTTTACTTAGATGTTTTCTTCTTGTGTTCTTTCCTCGCACGTTGTTCATTTTCGCGATGATAAACAAAACGCTTGCAGTTTTCAAACGTCTGCATGAACAGAAGTATGTGCTTGATTCTAAAATAATAAATATATAGTAACCTAAGATTTAATCGAGTCATTTTACGCAAGAGCACATTTTTTTAAACCTATGTATAGGGCACAAGAATGCTTTAATATCCTAAATGAAGAAAAATAATCTTTTAAGTATTCAACTCGTAGTGATATTGAATTTACCGTTTTATCTTTACCCTAAAAGTAATATGAAATTAGGTGCTACCTATGGCGCGGAAAGTCATGTAGATCTTCATGTAAATTATGCAGTATCAAAGAAATTATCTAACTGAATTATATTGATAATGTTCAACACTACCTCTGATCAAAATTATGTGATTTTAAAATTTTTGTTTCATTTTTAAATATTCTGGTGTTTAAAGATAATAAACCTTGAAAATTGAATTATACTTTTTTTGTTTAAGAAATGTTTCTGGTGGTTAGAGACTGACATGTCCCACATTTCAGAACATTTATCAACATTTAAAAAATTAAAGAAAAAAAAAACAACAAAAAAAACATGTATATATAGTAAACAAATACATGTATATATTTTGAATATTTACATTATCTAACACAATGTAATGGTAATAATGAAAAATTCCTTTCATTCTTTCCGTTTTGAAGGTGTCATTCGGTATTACATGCACCGCTTACGTTTTCACTCGGAATACTCGACGATTATCATTTATCCGAAAAGTTGAGATTTGTTCCGTTATCGGAATACTTCGCCTATTATCATTAAGTTACATTGTAAATGGCGGCGCCCGACTAAAGTGACACTGAAAATTTCATTGATAGGTATAGAATTCTATATATTTTTTAATTGTTTTTTATTTGATTTACTTTTAAATATACACGTGTAGTCAATAGCCGGGCAAGCCAAAGCCCGGAACAGCTTTGCGGGCCCGGTCTTTGACTTCCCCGTATAATTATTGAATATAGCTGGTATTTATATATAGCTGGTATTTAATAACGATAGATTTATACTTTTCAATTAAATGTTTCTGTTGGTTAGAGACTGACATGTCCCACACTACAGAATATTTATTAACATTAAAAGACGTTCAGTTATGTAAGCAAAATTAAAGCAAATTTAAATTGAAATTTTGATGATTGTCCTTATGTATTTAAGTACTGTGTAACAGGAATGTTTTTTATTGTTTAAAGTCCCAAGACCTTAAATCATTTTCTACAGAATGACAAAGAAATGTGAACCATTTCTCTTTAGATGTTCATCTGCATGAACACCATCATACAAATGTTTATATGATACGCCCTCTTGAGTCAGTTGCAAATATCAGATGATTCATCTGTGAAAAGAACAAAACAGAAAAAGTTTTTCACTGTTTCATGTGAAAAAAAACTACATAGTTTAAATATATTAAAATGTATTTATATGACAATATTTAAAGAAAATTTGACAAACTATTAACCAATTCCAAGAACTGTGATCAATAAATGTTAAAAGTATTGATTACAAATGTGAATAATTGATGATAAAATTTAGCTTAATAATCATAAAAGAAATATGCAATATGAATTAATAACATGAATGTTTGAATTACATATATATACACGTGATTAAGTAATAAAAGCATGCTAGTAAGAAAAAAATACATTGATAATATTCAAAATGAGCAACATATGGGTAGGACTTTAAATTCTTTTTATTAGTGTCTAAATAAATAGTTGATATACAGTTTTGTAGCTATTCATGGTGTTAAATTCTAAATTTAGACAGATTCTTTTAATCAGTGGTGAAATGTCATGATGACATTTAATGTCATGGAATATTTTGAAAAGAAACATAGAAATAATAAACATGTCATCAATTAAAAAATCATTATGACAAAAAATGTTGAGAGAAAGGTGTAGACGAAATGATGAAAATATGTTTAATGTAGATTTAGAAAAATACATGAATACTAGTAATTGAATGTATTGGTGAAAGTACATATACAATTGTAAGTTTATTTCATGTGATATTTATATTTGTGAAAGTGTATCAGTTAGTGGTTGACATACCACCCACCAAAAAATCTTCTGTTATTAGTCCCTTTTAAATTATCTAGTTTTGTCCATAGATGTGTAAGAAACAGTTGTTTAATTGAAAAATAATTGAATGTGATGAAATGTGTTGTTGGAGATATAATGGAAAGTATATTTTCTCTGATATTTATATTTGTGAAAGTGTATCAGTTAGTGGTTGACATTGTTGTTCAGACAATAATTATGGTCATTGTAATTATCATTCTGCATATGTAAATGCTCAGATTGATTTGGAGAGAGTAAATATATCTGTGTAAAAGCCTGTTAATCATTATTTACTTCTGTACAATAATTGTTTTCTTGGTATATTTCATTTGAATGTTTAACTTTTTTTGTTTGAAGTTCTTGGAATTGATTTCCTACAATATTGTTGTCCAGCCAATAATTATGCTTGTTGAAAATAGACATAGTTATTTACCAGTATGCTTGCTGAATGTAGACAATTATTAAGTGTGAAAATAATGCATAAGATCTGGTAGAGTCTATATAATTTTTATGATTTTTTTTTCTTCAGAAAAATCAATTGAAATCAAGTGAAAATATGCTTGGAATTTCACTTAAACATATTTAGAACTGGTATAGTTGTATACAGTATAGTCCAGTAGGACTAGCTCAAGTTATTGCATAAACTTGCATAAGTAACTTAATTAAAAATGTTAAAATATATTTAAATGTACAAAAAGAAACATGTAAAATTTGTGGTAGTCCAAATATGCAAAAGTAAATATAATTCTAGGACTTTAAATAGGAAAATGTAATTATGCCAAAATAGTACCGTTCAGCCTGTTGAGACGACAGCGATAAAAAAGCAGACGACTGGGCCGTTTAATGATAAAAAATCAGTGTAGTTTACACGCTTTTCGGAATGAAAATCAAAAAGCGCCCGCTATTCATAACATTTAAACCAGTCTAAATATTCAGCCATTGAGGCGCTTGTAAAGCGTTTTACAAGAGGCGCTTGTCAAGCGTTGTACAACATAGATTTCAAAATGGCGGCGCCCGCTAACTAAGGATTTTTTCGCAGCTCATTAGGTTTGGGATATATATTTTTTTGAATTTTTCATTAACTTTTAATTTGATTTCTTTTGAATTGATACGCGTCATACATGTTATCTAAGAGCGCTACAGCCCTCGCGGGGCCTTCGGCCCCGCTCGGACTTTCCGCGTATTATCAATATCCTCAGATATTCAGTTCTCGATATAATGGAATTCCCGATAGAGTAAATAATCGCGTGTTTTTTTCACGAGTTTGACGTCATTTGACAAGGAAACCTCCAAGTCAACACTGTGTATTCAGCTGCTTCAATAAAAACTGTTTTCACGGTAAAAATGTTCAGGATAAAGGTAAACTTACTCTTTTATTTACAAATCATCAATTTTATACAGTTTTCACTAATGCTTTTTTTCTGTTTTATACAATCCTCCATTTTAATTTATCTGCAAGCCTCTGACAGCAGCCGATGGATGACGCAAGCAAATCAACATTAGTTCTAAAATAGACCAAGTGATACGTCACTAGCACCTGTCAAAAAAATAAAATACGGAAGCAAATCAGGGCCATAGATCTTATTAATTGCAATAGTTAAATACAGACTGGACATAATCTGTATTGAATCTAAGTTGATGTTAAGACCATCTAATAAAGGAAATGAACACATTTTGTTATTTATTCATGTTTAATATATGTGGTATTCAAAATAAGCCAAAATATGCATTAAAAGATTGTTTATTCTGGTTCATTTCAGCTTACTCAACCTGCAGATAGGTCAAGACTACGGCTATGGTCACCAACTGCTATGACATCAGCTTATAAAATGGTGAAAGATGAAGGAATTCCAGTATATAGAGCTGCAAAGCTAAATGGAGTTCCTCTTACTACTTTGAGAGACCGGGTTGATAATAGAATATCAATTGATTGTGTCAAATCAGGACCCTGCCCTGTGCTTTCTTTAGATGAAGAAGCTAAATTGTGTGAACACTTAAAAGATCTTGCTTCTGTTGGATATGGTTACACGAGGGCTGAAGTATCAATTTAGCCTCTGATTATGCTGTTTCTTTAGGCAAGAGGAAAGATGATCAGCCATTCACACTTAATTGGTTTTATAACTTCATAAAAAGGTGGCCAGAACTTAATGTTGTCCGTCCTTCAAGTCTGTCTGAACAACGTGCTAAATGTGCCAGTGAAGAATCTGTCACTAAATACTTTAATGAACTTGAAAGAATTTTACGAAAATATGATTTATTTGACAAACCGCACCTTATCTATAACATTGATGAAAAGGGAATAAATACTGAATATAAACCCCCTAGTGTTGTAAGTGGAAAAGATTGTAAGGCACAAGTTATCATGTCTGAGCGTGGTAAAACTGTCACTATAATAGGGGCTGGTAATGCAGCTGGAATGCAAATCCCTCCATATTTTGTTTTCCCTGGTGTCCGAATGTTAGATGGTCTCTTGGAAGGAAAAAGTCCTGGTGCTGATGGTATCATGACACCAAGTGGTTGGTCAAATAGTGTTGTTTTTAAAGATTATTGCAAAATCATTTTATGAAGTTTTGCCAGGGAAGATCAGATGACACAATTCTTATACTGTATGATGGTCATCGTAGTCACATATCAGTAGATCTTGTTGAATGGGCTAAACAGCAAAATATTGTTCTGTTTGTCTTGCCACCACACACCTCTCATATCCTCCAGCCTATGGACATTGGATGTTTTGGTCCCCTGCAACTGAAATATGCTCAAGAATGTTCTAAATTTGCTAGAACACATCACAGAGTTGTCACTCGTTATGATGTCTGCTCACTTGCTTGCAAGGCGTACTCATTTGCTCTAAGTCCTTTAAATTTACAAGCTTCTTTCAATAAGGCAGGCATTTATCCATTCAAGAACTCGTCCTCTATGGTTGAACTTTTAAAAAGTAAAAATCAAACCATCTGAACTTTACATAGTTGATGATGAAGTGACAGCATCAGGAGATCACAAAAAATCTGAAACAGCAGAAAATAACTTTTTTGATAAGAAAGGTGGTGATGTACATATAAAAATCATGAAGAAAAACGTAAAAGCATTAATAGTATTGTTGGTGGAAAAGCATTGGAAGGTGAAACTGTAGAAAAAATGAAAAAATACATTGATGAAAGTAACAGTAAAATTAGTTCAAATGATCCTAAAAAGAAAAAAACTAAAACTCCTAAGAACAAAAAGAATTCAGCCACCAGCTTCAATCTTCAAATAAATGATAAACAAAAGCCAGGTCCATCCAAACAAAACATTGAACTTTCTGAAAAATCAGACCTCTCTGATAGTGAAAATGAATCAGAAATACCTGATGAAGATAAGTGTTGCCAATGTCATCAATATTATGTAGACAAGCATTCCCATGGTGCAATAGAATTCACCCACTGGGCACAGTGTGATAATGCTACTTGTTCCCATTGGGTTCACCTTAAATACTGCTCTCCAGTCCGTGTTGTGAGAAAGAATACAGTGTTCTACTGCAACTGTTGTTTATAGCATGTCAACACTGGGCCACCATACTTAATACAGCCTCGTTTTGAGATTTATCTCGAGTTATCGAGAATTCAAGACGCCATTTTGGAAATCCTTTTTTTGACCGTTGTTATATTTTTTGAAAATATTTTTTATTCGTTATTTCATTGATTGTTAACAATTAAAAAACTTAAAGAGAATATATTTATGGATTCAATGATGTATTTAGAATAAAGGTGAGTTTTTTTTCCATTTCTTGTTTTTGCATTTTATTGTTACATTATCGAGAACCGAATATTTCAGGATACGAGTATCAACTAATAAAGGGGTTGTAATAGAATGCGAAATGGATTCCATTTCGCGACATAAACTTATCCCATACGAAATGGACATTTGTTTTACAATTTATGGTTTGAACATGAAAAGTAATATTATTTTTATTAACTTATATTATTCTTTTTTTATTTTGAAATTGAAAACTTGTGTTACGGTGTTACCGTAATAATAAATTTCAAGTACATGTACCTGCTTTTTATATAAAAAAGTTAATTTACCACGTATTTCGTCAAGTTAATTTTTTTAATTGTATCTTTAAAAAATTAAATAGATATTTGTATTAAACAAGTTTTTTTTTTTCAAAATAAACTTTAAAATTCCAAAATTCGATAATAAAAAGAAAAGCTATATATATATATATATGGTATTTTGTAAAGTAGGTATCCGTTGAGAACGGGCATTTATGCTTAGCGCCAGTAAAATATCGATCGCTGTACTTTTATCGGGTGCATGACAAGATATTTAAGCATTTATAAAGTGTTAAATGGGAGTGTCCATTCCTTGTAATTTAAATCCGTGGCTTTACAAATTATGGTATAACTGACATGTAATAAATATTATCATTTCTATTTAGTGACATTTAATCTGGGACTTCAAAAACATTTTTTTTTGTCCCAGGTTAAACATATGATATAAACAGAATCTTTCTATTTGTATAAAACAACAAACTGAACTATTATGTGGTATTATTATACGGTATGCCTAAAATACGAAAGTGAGATTTTTGACGAAAGTGAGCGAAAGTGAGCGAAAGTGACTTTTAAAATTTGAATTGTACCGTTTTAATAGAATATTACAGTAAAATTGCTGTTTGTAGACGTATATTATTAGCAACTTATTATATTTCTTTTCATAAATAATCACTATGATGATTTAATCGCCAGGGCAAAATCAATGTTACAAGTATTGTTCAGAGCAATAATTAACATACAAAAAACAACAATGACTGTATATTTGGTTAAGTGCAAACACGTGTTGTAATAACGTTTTCGCACCCACTTTAATTGACAGTAATCACGCGTTAATCCAACGTGTATGATGTTGCTACCGACAGAAGATAATTTCCTCGCACCTGTACTTATTAGCGACACAATTATTACAAGTCCCATTGTTTAATGGAGATAAGAGAAAACTTCAAAGTCAGTGTACAGTATATTAATATTAAACATTAAAAATCCATCTTTCTCTCTACATTCTCTGTCTTTTTGACTATTCGCATCATCGTGAAAAAAAATCCTCTTTTGATAAAATTGTTAAATTGTTACCATTAAAATAATTATAAACTTGAACAAAAATCAAAATTATTCGAATTTGAAAAAAAAGGGCCATGAAAGAGTTCCTCCACGTGGTGTGGCCTGGATGCAGATGGTATATTGAAAATTAATACCAAACCATCTGTAACTGAACGCTCTTGTAACTTAATTTCAACACAACATATATTATTTTAATAATGTTTTTTAAGTTTCATTTTTAATAAAATATTATTCATTTTTTTATAATATACGTTTACATAATTATATAAAATTTAATTAAAACCCTATATATTTAATAACTTTATAAAGTCACTTTTGGTTCCTCTCGCTCACTTTCGTCCGAACAAGGGGCCGGTCTAAAACGCAGACGCTTATGCAGACAATATAGAATATATAGTAAAACGCAGACAATATAGAATATATAGTAAAACGCAGACAATATAGAATATATAGTAAAACGCAGACAATATAGATATAGAGTGTTTTCACAAAACGCAGACGATATAGAAATAGAAGGTGTGAATTAGACTCTTAACAGCTTGTCACCACTTTTTTTTCAGATTAACTTTATAAAATAAGAGATTTATAAGAATTATTATTTGATACAAAAATAACATTTTAATTAGAGATTAGAAATGTTTTTATTTAAATGTTTTATTAGTATCATAATAATCAACAATAAATATATAAATAGTGATATAAGAAAGGGTTTTTTTTATTCTATGTTAGATTTTAATTAAATTAATTTGAAATAAAATATTTAATACTAACTTTGCATAATTTGTAACATAAAAGAAATGTGGACAAGAAAGTAATATATTAATGGCTAATACTTTTTGGCTGTCTCCTACTACACTGTACTATATATCTATAGTGTCTGCATTTTACTATATATCTATATTGTCTGCGATTTACTATATGTTTCTGCAGTTATCAAAAGTTGTACTATACTGGTTTGGGAGATAAACTCGGCTGAAAATCAGTGTTTTGGGGGCATATTTCATTTATTTGTTTACCTATTCTGATGAATCTTGCACCATAATAAACTTCAGGTCTTCGATTTTCCAGTATCACCATAAAAGTTATATTTAGAAACATAACGGGTAGTTTTGAGAGGCCCTGGAAGAGGTACATAAAAAGGATATTTTTAACGCGCGCGAGTAGATAATTCCGGCTCTTTGTTTTTCTTCTTAAATGAGTAAGTTAAAACGTAAAATAACATTTTTAGACATTTTATTATTTCTTTGCTGTTCATTTATGTCAAATAAAAAATATTTGTTACCAAAATTGTTGAGCATTACATTAGTATAAATTAATCAATATCTATGATAACACGATATTTATATGCAACGTACTATGTAACATATAAATCATTTTTACGTAAAAACACATGCATTATCATTTATTAACGTATAACGAAATATGTAGTTAATTCAAATTTATATTTGCTTAGCTTAACAGAGTGCAGAAGAAATTAATTTAGTGGTATTCAACCTACACAATAACATATAAAAGGAACATCAGTCTTTCAATCCATTCCACTGTGTAATCAGCCTTTTTTCTGAGTTAGCAAGAAAAAAGTGAGTCTGAATTTCATTTACAAAATGTATGCGTAAACGTCGTCTGCTTTACCGGTAGTCGGTCAATATATAAAAGTACCCCTGTGCAGGCCTCAAAATGAGCATCTGCTGCACATGCGCACAAGAATGGGATTCCCATACTTTTTATAGGCATGTTTTGTAAACAAACAGGTAAAAGTCTGTGTAATTTTTTAAATATCTTACCAAACTTGACAAAATTCCCAGATATTGTCGAACTCCAGCGATAGTATGAGATGGTGAGCTTGATTAGATTAAAAATTTCGATAACTCGATTTAATTACAAAAAGCCGAGTTTATCAACCAGCCGAAGTTATCTCCCCAACCAGTATATCTATAGTGTCTGCATTTTACAAAATGAATTTAATCTTAAACAAATATGTTCTCTATTATATCTATAGTGTCTGCATTTAACTATACAGTGATTTTTCCCCCTGTATTTTACAGCCGAATAAAGGCTGTTTCCCCCAGATCAAAATAGGTATATTTTCCCCTAAAAAAGCTAATATTTTCCCCTGTAATACCCTGTGCACTTCTTCACCAGAACCATTACTTAACAGCATCTGACTTATTATGTCAGCTAGAAGACAGAAAGCTGTCCCTTTAGCCTCTGTTATGTACAATGGCAATGCATGTTAAATTGAATTGAAATTAATTTTTTTATAAAATGTGTGGGTAAATTCCATTCTCAGTTGCTGGATTTTGATTTTCCCCTTTTCTGATTTATCGCGCTATATTTTCCCCTTCAGAAAGTCACAGGTTGTTTTGAAAATTGGAAAAAAAATCACTGCTATATGTTTCATATTGTCTGCATTTACTATATATCTATATTGTCTGCGTTTTACTATATGCTACATATTGTCTGCATTTATCAAAAGTTGTACTATATATCTATAGTGTCTGCATTTTACTATATATCTATATTGTCTGCGTTTTACTATATGTTTCATATTGTCTGCATTTACTATATGTTTCATGTTGTCTGCATTTACTATATATCTATATTGTCTGCGTTTTACTATATGTTTCATATTGTCAGCATTTATCAAAAGTTGTACTATATATCTATAGTGTCTGCATTTTACAAAATGAATTTAATCTTAAACAAATATGTTCTCTATTATATCTATAGTGTCTGCATTTTACTATATGTTTCATATTGTCTGCATTTACTATATATCTATATTGTCTGCGTTTTACTATATGCTACATATTGTCTGCATTTATCAAAAGTTGTACTATATATCTATAGTGTCTGCATTTTTCTATATATCTATATTGTCTGCATTTTACTATATGATTCATATTGTCTGCATTTATCAAAAGTTGTACTATATATCTATAGTGTCTGCATTTTACAAAATGAATTAAATCTTAAACAAATATGTTCTCTATTATATCTATAGTGTCTGCATTTTACTATATGTTTCATGTTGTCTGCATTTACTATATATCTATATTGTCTGCGTTTTACTATATGTTTCATATTGTCTGCATTTACTATATATCTATATTGTCTGCGTTTTACTATATGCTACATATTGTCTGAATTTACCAAAAGTTTTACTATATATCTATAGTGTCTGCATTTTACTATATATCTATATTGTCTGCGTTTTACTATAAATTGTTTCATATTGTCTGCATTTATCAAAAGTTGTACTATATATCTATAGTGTCTGCATTTTACAAAAGGAATTAAATCTTAAACAAATATGTTCTCTATTATATCTATAGTGTCTGCATTTTACTATATATTTCATGTTGTCTGCATTTACTATATATCTATATTGTC